ATGCAGGCTTGAAAGCATCCATGAAAGCGGATTTATGCAGTATTCAAAGGCATCCTCCGAGAAACTCAATGCTCAGAAAGTCTTCCAGGAGCTGGCAAATGGCAGGATCTTGCACGCCCAATTCTCTGGCACAGATCATACACTTTGTCCAAACTTGAAGAGCTTGGCAATCTTGCCTCAGACTGCATAGCCGCTACATCCAGAGAGAAGAATGCCTTAAAAAGGGCATCTGTGTTGGCTTTAAAGACCAGGACCTCAAGGACCAAGCTTGTCAGGGTCTTGTTTACGTAAGAAATAGTTGCATTAACAGCCAGAAGACTGCATTTCTTTAAGAATTATTTCTCAAAGGGTACTGGTGGGCAAAAACTTTTAGTGGTGAAAATATCCTCTCCCAGACAGCCCAGTCAGCATAATCTTTTCTTGTGAGGGTGCACCAGAAAAGACTAAGACATTTTTGCACCCACCAGGAACCAAAACCCAGTGACCTTTGGGGAAGGGGATTACAGAAGCAGTAACGTTGGGTACCACATCCTCCAGGAAACCCACCAAGTGTCCCAAATACTTGCTTTGACAGGCATTGACGAAGCAGCAACTGCTGCTGTGCAGGGCTGGAGGCAGAATGGCACAGAGAGAAACTTAAGAATGATGTAAACTACCACTGTGGCGTTGTCCAATAGAATCCATCTTGGATGGCCCTCCAACAGGTTGGTCAAACACTAAAAGAATAACCAATCACTTGAAGATCCAGGATGTTCATAGAGAAACAAAATTAATTTGACCACCAAATCCCAAAAGATTCCTACCAACAAAGTGCCTAGGACTCCTCCCCAGCCCAACACACCGGAATGCATTGTAAGACGCTTTCAGAAGACAGGCTAAAAGGACTTCCCCGGATACTAGAGCTGGGTTCCTGAGCTACAAAGCCAGAGATAGCCTGGTCCTTGGCATCAACCAAAATTGGCCTCAGAAATGTCCAAGCCCAGACCCAGATACTCTAAGTGATGAGTGAAGATTTTTTTAGGATATAGGTATAATTTTGAAGTGAAGCAAAGCAAACATAACGTGTGATCAGGACTGTAAAACTGACCATTTTTATTTAGTGACAGGTGCTTTGACTGGCGTTCAGAGTGCTTTAAAAAAGCGTGTACAATGCCTTGATTTGAAGCTAGTGTAAAGGAGCCCTATGGATATACTTGAACCTTTCTAACAGGTGGACAGCCAGAGACATGTCTGGCAGAGCCCTCACTGTTCTGTTCCCTGGTAGTGAGGGGGTCCCACTGCAAAGTGTAGAAATCACTAGTACACTGAAAAGATGGGCACTTGAAAGTAAGCATCTTTGATGTCAAGGAAGCCACAATGTCTCCCTGGTGCAGGGAGACAATGACAGAACAAATATATTCCATCCAAACGTTTTTGGCCAGAATGTAACATTCAGAACCTTGAGATTTAAGCTTGAATATAAGCCCCCTTTTGATTTGGGAACACTGAACAGGTTGGAGTAAATCCCCCAAATTTTTCTACCATAGGAACTATGTCAATGAGAACGTAATCCAGAAGACCCAAGAATGTGTGATAGAGATCTGAAAGTCTGTGCAGAGGCTCAGGAAATTAGGAAGGGAGAGGAGCAAGAAGCAAGCAGGAAAGGAAACTCCAATTTGTAGACCTGGGGGACCACCTTTAGCACCCAGTCGCCTGAAATACAGGCTTTCCAAGCACCTGAAACAAAGCACCAAAGGATGCCCGTTCACCTCCCCCCCCCCCTTTCAATCTAGAAAGTTAGGGTGTGTCTTCACGTGGAGGAAGACAAACTTTGTGAATGGGTAAGGAGCAAAGCTTGGAGGGCCTCAACACTGAAGTCAAGGGAATGGAAAAACCAAAGAGCTGCCTCTTGACAGCAGCAAGAGAGATAACATTGATCTTACCGTTTGTTGTATTATCAAGAACCAGTTCAAAGAGATGCCCCTCAAAGGCCATGCAAACAAAATGCTTCTTGCAAGAATGTTCTGCAGTCCAGCACCTAATATTTTGAGTCATAAAATCTTGCAGGACCATAAAGAAAAACTAGCCTGAAAGGGCAGAGGACCCAGTCACATCTGATATAATGAAAGAGGGCCCTGAAGAGGGAGAGACTCAAATAAGCATGACTCCATGCTGCAGATATTGGCACTATAGGCGCACTACAAGCAAACCCTAATTAATTTGCAAACAGTAAGCTACAGCAAAACTGTTCCACTCATGTCTAGAATAACACATGTTGCAGTTAGGCAATATACAGGCTCAAGGCAAAGACAAGATTAGTCACCCTGCACAAGGAGAGAGCTCAGCAGTGACCATGCTCTGTTACAGGTACAGGCAGTCCCCGAGTTAAGTACATTCGGCTTACGTAATACTCATACTTACGTACACTTCCCTCGGGACCGGAAGTCAAGCTGTCAGCATTCTTGTGCAGCAAGCTGATAAGAGACTAGCTGATAAGAGACATCAGAGAGACATAAGAGACAGAGACATCCATTGCTCGTTACTTGTGGGGCTAGCAGTGTCTGCCCACTATCTCCAAAGTGATTTAAGACTGTCTGTCTGCACCTCCGGGGAGAGGAAAGGAGAGGCTGTCAGGCTGCTCACTGAAGTGATCCTCCGTCTGTGCAGGGGGGAGGGGGCAGCGTGTGCTGTGTAAAGGAGAGCAGAGTTCTCTCATACAGTACATTACAGTACAGTGTATTTTTACCCTGCAATAATGCCTCCAAAGCAAAAAGCTGATGCAAGTGCTGGCACAGCAAAGAAAAGAAAAACAATCTCCTTGGAAGATAAAGTAGAAATAATAAAGAGATCAGAGAGTGGTGAAAAATCATCATCCATTTGCAAAGCATATGGTTATGCTCCGTCAACAATTTCAACAATTTTAAAAGATAAGAGTAGAATAATGGAGCATGTAAAATGCTACATCCCAACCAATGCTACAATTATTACCAAGCAACGCAGTGGTTTAATCATCAAGATGGAAAGGATGCTGACCATTTGGATAGAAGACCAAAATCAGCATAAATATACCTATCAGTCTTGCTTTAGTACAAGAAAAAGCTCGGAGCATTTTCAATGATTTAAAAGCTGCTCATACATCAAGTGAAAGTGATTGCAATGAAGAATTTGTTGCTAGTAGGGGTTGGTTTGATCGCTTTAAAAAAAGAGCAAATTTGCATAATATTAAAGTTCAAGGTGAAGCAGCTAGTGCTGATTCGAGTGCTGCAAGTGATTTTTCCATGATATTGAAAAATATTATTGATGTGGGAGGGTATTTGCCAGAACAAATCTTTAATGTAGATGAAACTGGCCTGTTTTGGAAAAAAATGCCTGAGAGAACATACATTTCAAAAGAAGAAAAAAGTGCACCTGGACATAAAGCATCAAAGGACAGGCTAACTTTATTACTTGGGGGTAATGCATCGGGTGATTTAAAGCTCAAACCTTTGCTTGTGTATCGCTCCATAAATCCGAGGGCACTGCGCAATGTCACAAAGTCATTTCTTCCTGTTATTTGGAGGGCAAATTCAAAGGCTTGGATTACGTTAGCACTCTTTGAAGAATGGTTTTTGAACCATTTTGTCCCTGCTGTTGAACGTTATTGCTTGGCCAAAAACATTCCTTTCAAAATTCTTCTTCTCCTTGACAATGCCCCTGGACATCCAAGCACTTTAGATGACAAGCACCCCAATGTAAAGGTGGTATTTTTTTACCCCCTAACACCACATCACTTATTCAGCCAATGGATCAGGGAGTCATAGCCTCCTTTAAAGCCTATTATTTAAGGAGAACATTCTCACAAGCTATCAGAGCTACACAAAATAATGAGATGACCTTAAGAGAGTTCTGGAAAAATTATAACATTTATGATGCCATCAAAAATATTGCTGAAGCTTGGGATGAAGTGAAAGACAAATATGAGAGGAGTTTGGAAAAAATTGTGCCCTCAATTAACGCAAGAATTTCTGGGGTTTACAGATGATGAAATTGCAGAAACCAGGCAAACTGTGGTTGCGATTGGCAATCAACTGCATTTAGACATCACTGAAAATGATGTCATAGTGTTACTCGACTCCCATGGCAAAGAACTAACCAATGAAGACCTTATGGAACTAGATGAGCAGATAGAATTTAGAGAAGAAACTCAGGGGCTAGAAACTCCACAAACCAAAAAGTTTTCTACAAAAGCGTTAGCTAATGCTTTTGATCTCATTGAAGCAGGAATGGCAAATTTAGAGGAGCAAGATCCTGATACAGAGAGGTTTGCAAAAGTTTATCGTGCAGTTACTGAAGGTCTGAAATGCTATAAGACTATTTATGAAGAGAAAAAGAAAAGCTCTGTACAAACCTCCCTTGATGCCTACTTTACAAAATTGACCCCAGCAGCAAAATCAAGCTCTGCATTACATTTGGATGTCGGAGACACTGTTGCTGCCCAATCCTCTCCAACATGCCATCCTCTGCCAAGATAGTTTAAAGTTGTACTCTACACTGTACAAGAGTTTACAGTATAATATTTGAATGTTGAATTTGATGTTTAAACATTTACATGCACATAAAAGTTAAATATGTTAAGGCAAACATGTGTCCAAGCTGCAGTTCTTATGCAAAACACCAGTTTAGAGCCTCTTGAGGTTTTACTGCTTTCTGTAACCTTATTACAAAAACGTAATCTAATATCCTGTCGTTTGGTTAGTAGTTAGTGCTTATAAAAGTGCCTGATTCAACTTATGAACAAATTCGACTTATGAACAAACCTACAGTCCCTATCTTGTACGTAACCCGGGGACTGCCTGTAGTACATATCTTTTGGCAGGTAAAAGAGTTTGATCATAACCAACTGTGTATATAGTTCAGAATTCAGCCTTACCAATTTACAATTACAATTTCAAAAAATATGTAGGCAAAAATTGTCAACCACCTACTAGGAACATCAATAAAAATGTATATTATGTTTGAGGAGTGAGAATTTTTCTATTTACCTTGAAATATGTCTTGACGAGCAGGTACTGCTTTAACATGTTGCTTGGTGGCCACTGGAGCAAGATCTAGCACAGAACATGAATTAACAAGAAAAACTTATGTGAAATAACACAACATTTAAAAGAGATCAAATTATATTTAAACATGTCCGAACCTTAAGATGATTATTTGTCTTTGACACAAAAACCAATGTGCATCATTAAAAATCACTTATAGAAGACTGTGTGTCACTTCACTATAGTAATGAATACTACATGCTTGCACTTTAAAGACTTTAACCACTTGCCCTCCAGAGGATTTACCCCCCTTTCTGACCAGGCCATTTTTTGCGATACGGCGCTGCGTTACTTTAACCACTTCCCGACCGGCCGTTGCATATAAACGGCCGGACGGTGGCACTGCAGGGTCGGGTGGCCGTCTATAAACGGCCTCCCCGCACCCTGCTTGTGCGCGCTCCCTGGGAGCGTGCAGCACCGCGATCCGGTGCCCGCTGTGTCCTCCGGACACAGTGAAACACCGATCGTCGGACGGGACCTCTGTACGAGGTCCCGATCATGTGATCACTGATTGGCCAATCAGTGATCACATGCAAAGTAGTAAGCAAGATGTCACTTGTGACATCATTGCTTACTATGTGTGAAATCTGTGAATGATCACAGAGGTCACATGGTACAAGGCTATTCACAAAAGCCTTGTACCATGTGACAAGCTGTGACCAATCACAGCTCACTCTGTATTTCTCAATGAGTGCAGGAATGCACACAGAGAGAAAGAGAAATGATTGCTTTTACATCCTATATGGGTGTAAAAGCAATCAGTGTAAAAAAAAAAAAAAAAAATCTTTATCACCCCTCACAAGTAGTACAGTGTCACCATGGTGACACTGTACTGCTAGGGTGACAGTATGTAAAAAAAAAATAAAATAAATAAAAAAAAATAATAATATAAAAAAATAAAATAAAAATGTAAAAAAAATGTTAAAAATTATAATTTTTGCTTATAAACTAATTTGGATTTTTTTTTTTTTACTAAAAAGATAACGGAATAAATTTTGGCTAAGATTTATGATGAAATATTATTTATTTGCAAAATTTTTATAAAAAAAAACACTTTTTTAAAAATTTTTTGGACATTTCATTTACATAGCAAAAAAAATACAAATCCCAGCGGTGAATAAATACCACCAAAATAAAGCTTTATCTATCTAAAAAAAATGGTAAAAAATTAATTTGGGTACAGTGTTGCATGACCCGCGCAATTGTCATTCAAAGTGTGATAGCGCTAAAAGCTGAAAATTGCCCTGGTCAGGAAGGTGGTAAAAGTGTCCGGTCTGGAAGTGGTTAAATGACAATTGCGCAGTCATGCTACGCTGCACCCAAAATGTATGTCCTTTTTTCCAAGAATAGAGCTTTCTTTCGGTAGTATTTGATCAACTGTGCGTTTTTAATTTTTTGCGCTATAAGAAACAGACCGACAATTCTGAGAAAAAACTATATTTTTTACTTTTTGCTATTAAACTGTCTAGTGAAAAAAATTGTAAACAAATCAAATTTCGACATAAATTTTGGCCACAATGTATTCTGCTACGTCTTTGCTAAAAAAAAATCCCAATACGTGTACATTAATTGGTTTACTTGAAAGTCATAGCGTTTACAAATGGCAGTATATATACTGGAATTTTTTTTTTTCAGTAGTATTGGTGGCGATTAGAGACTTATAGCAGAACTGCGGCAGGCATTCTGCAACTGGGGGGAACTGACTTGGTGACAATACAGTGATCAGTGCTAATAAATAGCACTGACATTGTACTAATGACACTGGGCAGGAAGGGGTTAACGTGGGGCGATCAAAGGGTTAAATGTGTGCTGTGTTACTGTAAGCTGTGTGTGTGGGCTTCACTTTAAGCACACTGCTATGCACGGCTCTGCTATGCAAAGCCATGCATAGCAGTGTGCAGCAGCTGATGGGAGAGACCTGTATTGTTTACTTACATTTTCTCTCCGTCCATCGGCAATGCTCCTCGAATACCGGGTGCCAGCGAGTAATCACCGACCGTGACCTGGTGAGTGACAGCCGAGGCCGCAAATAGCAGCGGCTCAGGCGCACCCCCCTACTCGGAAATGCAAATTCACGTATAAATATATATATATATATATATATATGTGTGATTTTGCGCACCCCTGCCACCCTGTAGCAGTATACCTCCTATAGGGCAGTGGGAAAGAGGTTAACACCAAAGGTGTCGGCACACACCTGAAATCAGCCTCCAGCATCTTCAGTTACACAGTGTTGATGCTCCAACCCCCCCCCCCCCCCCAACACAAACACACACATTCCTATTGGCCAGTCATTGTAACAGACAAATTGGAAGGCATGGGCTTAGTGACAAACTCTTACATTTACTTGAGATGTCAAAGCTTCGCTTGTTCAGAACAGCTTAGCATTCGGGTGAAGCTGAGGATACTGAAAGCTGCTGCAGGTATTTGCCTCTGTGTACCTGCACTTCACACCTGTCAGCAGTTTCCAGGATTTGCAAACAGATGCTATCACTTGGCCAGTTCAGGGCAAAGTGATGGTGTCTGTAAACAGCCTTCCCCCCGCAGGCAGCAGTTATGCTTACCAAGCCATGCCCTCATGCATTCATGGGCTTCCGGGTACGGGGGAGCACATGTGCTTTGGGCCTATTGCCAATCATGAGGCCCAAACCAGGTCATGTGTGTGCCACTGGCAAGCCTGAAAGCCTGAGGGATGTTTATCCCCCGACTCTTCTAGGACCTGTGTTGATGGGCTTTGTGCTTGTTTTCACGGCATAAGTTTGACATCAGTTTGAAACACTTCTGAAAGAATTAAGAATTTATTGATAGGTGCTCTTCATGGAAACACTGTTCCTGTGTAACAAATGAGTTAGGGTACAAACTTGTTCATCAAGGATCTAAGGCATTTACCTGCTTTCTGCTCCAAGAAAGGGAAAGTGGAGAGTGGGACAGATTTCATGTCAAATGGTTTCTCTGATGGCTCCAGAGTATACTGGTGTAAGGCTTTTTCTAGTCCAAGCACAGAAACTGTGAGACCTGTAGAACACCAATTCATAAACAAGTGCAGCCCACTACAGCAACAACAATAAAGCAAAATAAGTTCAAAAGGTGAAAGTGACTAGTACTGCTATGGAAAGATTACAAAATAAAAAAAAATAACTAAACACTACAAATAACCATTACAGACCATTCAAAATGTAAGCTGAACTGAGGTTGATCTGTTTCTGCTTTAGTACATTGAAGTAAAATGTTGCTCTGTCCCGGACCTCATCATCACTGTCCATCATGCACCTGTAAAACAAGGAAGCAACAAGTAACACCAAACTAGCAAGTTTCCAATAACGAATATGTTACTCTCCCAAATTATATTGAATCTGCTTTCTGTTTTCTCCTGTGTAAATAATCAAGAAGCAAAGTTTTACTTCCTACTCAAAGTGTGTATACCCTTTTTTTTTTTTTTTTTTTTTTTTAGTTTTAAAACAAATTTTTATTGAATTTTATACACAAAGTACAAGAATATATCTTGACATGCAATTCTGTAAACCATTTCACATAAGGACTATGAGACAACAGTCAGTATAACAGTTGTAATGGGGAAAAGAACAGTGAATAGACACAAATGATAAAACAAAGCAGTTCAAAATAAGCCAAACCTCAATAGTTAAGCAAATCCCTAGGAATGGAAGCTTAGTTGTGAAGGCCTGAACAAAAATATCTCTATCGAAAAGGAAGAGTGTTGTGTGGGCTAGGAATCTTAACCATTTCCATACCGGGCACTTTTACCCCCTTCCCACCCAGGCCAGTTTTCAGGTTTCAGCGCTCTCACACTTTGAATGACAATTGCATGGTCATACAAAATTGTACCCAAACTAAAATTTTATCATTTTCTTCACACTAGAGCTTTCTTTTGGTGGTATTTAAACACTACTGGGGTTTTTATTGTTTGCTAAATTAACAAAAAAAGACTGAACATTTTGAAAAAAAGCATGTTTTTCTTTGTTTCTGTTATAAAAGTTTGCAAATAAATACCGTATTTTGCGCTCCATAAGACGCACCTGACCATAAAGACACACCTAGGTTTTAGAGGTGAAAAACAAGAAAAAAAATATTCTGAACCAATGGACTGCAGACACAGTACAGGAGATGATCAGTGACTCCATAGGATGCTGCAAGAGAAAGGATCCACCCTGTAACAGGAAAGCTGGGACAATGGCATCAGCTTAAACTGAAGATAGGCAATAATTAAAAGATAAAGAAGCTGCATTCGCAATAGGTGAATAAACCAGGTGTAGGCCCTGGAGATCCACCTGGAAATGGCAGAGCACGAAGCAGGGTCTCCTCTAAGAGGATCTCCAGATAAAACAAAAAGTCTCTATCATGGAAAAAGAGGCCAAGGCAATTTACTGGAAAAAAAAAGGAAATAATTTTAGGCTTTAAACTTAAGCTTTAAGACCGTTTCCTTTTCATGTTTTGGGGCAGGACAGAGGGAAGGGAGGACAATGTCTCAAAACCAACTTGTCCTTGTGCATTTACTACAAAGGTTAGAAGATCCCTGCTCTTGACTGCACATTTGTTTGTTGAACCTGGAGAGCATGTCGTCCACATCTCCTTTTCCCCACTTTTGTCAGATTTTTTTTTTCTGGAAGATTTCAGGATGCAGAGTCTACTACCCTGAGCCTAAACAATGACAGCTTAGAAAACACACCGCCAATTATCCACTCCCAGAATGCAAACACAGAGAGCTGGTGCCTCCTTGATAATTTATATAGACTACTGCTTTGGCATTTTTTTATTGTACTATGACTGGGTGACTTTGCAGAAGGGAGGTTCAGTGTTGAAGAGACAATCTGATGGTTCTCAGTTCCACAATGTTGATGGGTAGGTTTTGATACCTTTGGGATCTCTTGACAGTTGGGTGCAGACTCCACCCCAGTCTGCAAAACTAGCATCTGTACTTAACAAATTCCAAGTCCTGTGAAGAAATTATATTTGCAATTCAAAGGCAGGAATGGAGATCCACTATGCCAGGGAGATCTTCGCTTGACTGGACAGAAGCATTGGACAATCCAAAGAATGGAGCTGCTTGTTCCACATCTGAGAATGTTGGATTAAAAAGATCTTGTTTAAATTGGGGAAAAAGGAACTGCCTCCAACGAGGCCACCATGAGGGCCCAGAACTCTCATGCATAAGCAAACTGAGGATCGCCGTTGTGACTTGAGAGTCTGAGAGCTGGACCTTAGGGAGAGAATCTTATGAGTGAGGAAGATTCTGGCATGGGTTGTGTCCAAGTACCCAGGTACTCCAGATGATATAAGAGCTAAAGAACAGGCATTGGAAAGTTGATTACCCAGCCAAAGGTTTGAAAGAACTGGATAGTCCTCAGGACAGTGGAAGACAAGGTACTGGCTTACCATCAACAGGAGACATGAAGGCCCTGGGTGTGTAGAAGAGCCAAAAGTGAGGCAAACTTAAAAGTGCAAGGGAAGCTTTGTCCTTTGCAGTGTAACATCTGGTATGAGTTGTCTTATCCACCTAGAGATAGTGGGCTTGGAAGCAGGATGTCCCTTCTGAGTTCCTGAGGGCAGGACGAATAGGGAGACCCCTCTGTCCTTTACGACCTGGGCTTTAATAGCCATGCTAGTAAAGCCAGTGGTTGAGAAGCAGGATAGAATAGAGGGCCCTGAGACAACAGGTCTGGCCTGTTGGTAAGAGGCCAAGGGTCGTTTCCCAGTAGCCTGAAAATATCTGTGTACCAGTTTTTCTCCGAGTCAGTTTGGTACAAAGAGAATCACCAGTTTCTTCTCTTGTTCTGTTTTGTATAGCAGGCGAGGCAGATTTGCACTGGAGGGAAAGAATAGACTATCCTGAACGCAGACCAAGAAATTATCAAGGCATCCAGGGCCAGAGGATCCCTGGTCCTGTCCTGGTTACAAAGGTAATTTGTTGTTGAATCTGGAGGCCAGGATATCAATATCTGGGGTCTACCATCTCTGACATATGAGGCTGAAGATAAGTGAAGGGCTCATTCCCCTTGATCCAGGTGGTGACAATTGAGGTAATCCGTCTTCCAGTTATCAGCTCCTGGGATGTGGATAGCAGAGATCGCTGGACAGTCTTTTTCCATCAAAGAAATTATCTGGCTTGCTTCCTTCAAGGCTGCATGACTCCTGTGCCCCCTTCATGGTTGATGCAGCCACAGTCGCCACATTGTCCGACTGGGTTGGTGTCATTGCAGAAGGGGGTCTAATCTTCTAGAGCCATTTTTACTGGTCAGAGCTCAAGGGTACTGATAGGGAACTTAGCTTCCACCAATGACCATATTCCCTGACTGGGGGGGACTTTGGCCCAGCCTGAAAGGTATCTGACGTTATCACTTTTCAGCGATATGAAAAGAAAGACTTCTTTATTGTTAAGTCTGGGCTGGAGATCCACCAAGCTAGGGAATTCTTTCCTTAGTTGGAAAGAGGCATTGGTAGGTTGAGAGAAGGAGCCTGGTTATTCCATTGAAGGACACAGTTCAAAATCATTCTTGATCGTAGGGCTATAGTGCTATCTTCACAAGTAGGATATCAGACAGAAAAAAGTACGTAGCACTATCTGCAAGCAGTCTTAACTGGTAGTCAAACCCCCTCCATCTGCGATAGGCAGCTGAGGTAATCATAAAGCAGTACCAATAAAATAGGATAGAGGGCTGGGTTCTGTGTCCAATGACTGCAAGCGAAAACTGGATTTTTTGCTATTCTCCGCAAAATTCCCTTTGTCAGAGTTCATTAAAAGGACACAGCTTGGAATCATTCTCGACCTTAGGGATGTCCCAAGGCAAAGCCTCACAGATAGGTGGGCAACCAGGAGAAGATAGAAGAAAAAAAAAAAAAAAAAAACACGCAACCCACAAGAGAACCCCCCAAAAAACGGCGCAATTTTTCAGATCGGATCTGGGGTGCACTTTAAAGTTGACCTTGAAGATACTGTATGCTTTTTATTGGAAAGATCTATAAATAATAATTATGCACAAGTATTATCCTGAAAGATTTATGTATTAACTTATGTATTGAATTTCTCTTGAAAAATATCAGTGTGTCTAGGCACTCCTCGGAGCTGTACCAACAGGTCAGGGCAATTTTGGCAGCAAAAGGGGATGAGAAGGGGGGTGTTCTGTAGACCTGACACACATCCTACCCTACGGTGATAATGCTTTTCCTCCATAAATACAGTATTGTGACTGAGAGTTTTCAACATAGGAAGGAAGTGTGTTAATGGCAGGATCACCAGGTGAAAAAAGGAAAAACATCCAGAAAAAGAAAACTAACTAAGACACCACATCTAAGCACTGGTAAGCACCAATATATTAGATTTTTTTGTCCTTGGGTTTAGTTACACATTAATTTACACAAAATTATTTTGATAACCAAGCATTTTGACATTACCGTTGTAGAAGGACCAGCACGCTGGGAAGGAGGCATTCGTTCTGTGCACCAAACTTTGCCAATGCACTAACAGCAGCTGTTAAAATAAAAAAAAAAAACGACTTACTTTTACATGTCAGAAAAGTGCAAAACAAAACATATGGCCTAAAATAAAATCTATGATACATTAGTATCGAACCTTCAGGGCCAGTTCACACCACAAATTGCACAGGTATTCCTGTGCGATTCACATGCAATCCGGGTACCATTCATTTGAACTACAGAACACATTTGAATGGGATGAAATTACGCCGGATCACAGCAAAAATAGTGCATACACTACTTTACAAAACGCAGAGCAACCACATCACCAGATACTTCCCGTGCAGGCATATGCACTGCATTTGCGATCTGCACTTGGGGTGCTGATTGAATTACAGTAACACCTGCTGCAGATTGCAAGTGCAGAACGATATGAACAGAGTGGGAAGTGTACATGGAACGTGGGTTTTCAGCACTGCATTCTGGTGTAAACTGGCCCTTATTTTACAGCCCACCTCCCAAAAGAGAGTAAACATTAATTAGCATAAACATTAATTAGCTTAAAGTCCCTTTTCTGTTCTCATGTACTGTAGGAGCAGCTGTCTGTATCCATACAAAGTAATCACCTCCCAAGCTGTACTTAGATGTTGTCTATTATGTTACAGTCTACGCACACTTACAGAGAAGTTGTATCTTTCTGTACATACAGTTTACTACAAAATTTGTAGCTATTTTAACAAGGGGAGGGATGGTATAAATCATTATGTATATTAAACATTAGCTAATGGCTTCTGTTCAACATTGTCATTCGCTCTTACCTGCTCTGACAGCCTCATTCTCCAGCACCACTCTGTTGAAGATGAAACGGATGTATTTGGATGGGTTAGGTGTCCGAGGACCTTCTTTGCCCAAGAAATGTAATATCTTAGTGGCAAGCACAGTGTGTTCACAGTCCTCTATGAACTCACATAAATGGGCTAGTCCAGATTCTTTACTGTCTGGGTTTTCCTCTATAATGCTGATTATGCAGTCCACAATAGCTCGTTTATACTCAAAGCCTCCCTGTAGATTGTGGACAAATCAAACGTTACTATGGGACATTTATAAGCCCAAACCAGACTAAAAAAAAAAAAAAATAGTTCTCACATTTACTAAATGCAGCTCTTCATGCAGACATATGTAGCTACAAAACACAGCATTGCAGGACCTAAAATCAGGCAGCACAATTTTACAGGAATCAATAAAATTAAGAAATATTTACAATACTATAGTTGGAAAAAAAACCCACAACTTTTAATGCAACAAGGGCATGAAAATTAACCGCTTCCCGACCTCCTGCCAAGTACTGTGGCTGGGTGGCAGCTACAGCCAAAGAGACATACCCGTACGTCACTCTGGCTGTACTAACACAGGGGAGCGCAGAGCGCTCCCCCCTGCGACTGCTGTGTCCAGCAGACACAGCGTAATGAAGATCCCGGTGAACAGGACCTGGTGATCATGTGATCACTGTGCGATCACATGATCACAAGCGGTTAGAAAAAAAAAAAAAAAAATAACAAATACCATATTGAGAATTTTTAAAAACATTTTTTAAGGGTTTTTTTTCTTTTAATTATTTGCCAACCGCTTACCCGCATTTTGGGGGTGAGCAGCAGCTCTTGGCAAAGTGACATAATCTTGCGTTGCTTCCTATTTTGGAGTGTGCATGTGCCTGCGCCCTACAGGTCGCTCCAGGGAGAGAAGAGAGAACACGGCACCATGTAAATGCACAACATTTTACACACACAAGGTAGATTAGCACATTTATCCTTTGATCGCCCCTATTAACCCTTTGATCGCCCTGTCACCCAGTCAGTGCCATTAGTATAGTGTTAGTATATAGAATTTTTCACTGATCACTTTTTTCCTGCCACTAGTGACATCAGATAGCGTCAGGGTCAGTTAGCGTCCCTCCGAACCAGGGTCAGCTAGCGTTAGATTGCCCGCACACTATCACACTGTAGGTCGCTGATCACCCCCATTACTAGTGTAGTTTGTACGGATCAAGATAATGATCATGAACAGAACTATACTAGTGCCTGCTTAGTATAGTGTCCCCAAAAATGCAGTGTTAACAGGATCAGTCCGTTCGCTGCCAGCACTAGCGTTTAACCCCTCCGCTGTTTTTCACGGAAGATTTGTACCAATTTATTGTGGGCTAAAGCAATTTATACAAACAACAATACATTGCCACCCACCCAAATTCAGCTCTTGCCAGACAATTCGCATGGAAACCTACCATGGTTTCTGAATTTAAAACTTTTTTGGGCCTAACCCTCAACATGTGCATTACAAAAAAAAAAATGAATTGCGGTCATATTGGTCCACAGAGCCCATTCATCATATGCCCATGTTCTCTGCTGTTACATATATGCCCAACATGGACCAGCAATGTACTGGTACATCGCTGGACTTTGAGTGGTTATACCGGGATGATTTCAGCTGGTGGCCGACTTTCATGTAAAAGCAATCCTAGTGGCCAATTAGCTGCTGAATTTTTTTTTTACGAGCAGTGGGAAGGGACATTTCTCCCTCCCCCCGCCTTCCACAGTTTTCCGCTGGCTGACCATAGAGTTGATCAGAGACCAGAATGGCTCCAATCATCTCTACAGTCTCAGAAATCGGAAGCTACGAGCATTTCATCACTTCAATGATGATGCGAATATAAACAGGGCCATTTGTAAATTGGGAAAGCATCTGATCACACCGATCTTGTGTATGTACTTTTTTTGCCTATGCATGGGCATGCGCAATTTTAAAGCATGTCATGTTTGCTATCTCTTTACTCGGCGTAACATCTTTTATGCTATCAAACAATTGGGCAATATATTGTGTTTTTGTGCATTAACATTCTAAAAAGTGTATTTTTCCTGAAAAATTTGCGTTTGAAAAATCGCTGCGCAAATACTGTGTGATGTGAAAAATTTCAACACAAACCGTTTTATTCTCTAGGGCCTCTGCTTTAAAAAAAAATATATAAAATGTTTGGGGTTCAAAGTAATTTTCTAGCAAAAAAAATGTTTTTCCATGTGAAAGAAAAGTGTCAGAAAAGTCTTGGTCTTCAAAAGTGGGTGATGTGTGGCATACTTCTAATGTTGGCCCTGAAATGCCAGGATAGTAGAAGCAACCCCTCCAAATGACCTCTTTTGTTGCCACGTTTTTGGAAAACGAAGAAAGAAAACAAATTTTATAGCGCAAAAAGTAAAAACTGCAGAGGTGATAAAATACCACCAAAAGAAAGCTCTATTTTTGTGAAAAAGGACATAAATTTAATTTGGTTACAGCATTGCGCGACCGCGCAATTACCAGTTGAAATAGGTGCCAAACAGCAAAAAATGGCCTGGTCATGAAGGGCGGTAAATCTTCTGGAGGGCAAGTGGTTAAAAGAGAAGTTGAGTTATTTTTTTTTTTTTTTTAAAGAAATCATACTAACCTAGGTGGATGCAGCATTGTTTCGCTGCTGCATCTGTCCCCCACTGGTTCTGAGTCTGAGAACTGAGTGATCAAAGACCGCTGAACACTCAGTTCTCCATGAGCAGAGAGCTGGTGACTCAGTAACCACTCTCTGCCCACCCCCCACCCCCCCTTCTCCCCCCAGTGCTCACTGGAGCACTGGGTTGTGGAGGGGGCGAGAGCGCCTGGCTAAGGCTCTCAGTGGATCAGTGGTCATGGATCTGGGTGGACCCCGACTTTAAAGTCAGGATCTTTCCCCAGTCTGAATCGGCTGAGTGACATCAGTCGACAGCAGACTTTAGCCTGCTGTCGGCTGAAAACTGGTCACAGGACTGCAGAACGAACTGCACTTCTGTGATCCACAGGAGGAGTATAGCCAAAAACTTAAAAGTAAAAATAGCAGTAAAATGGATAGTAAGGATGACTCAGTTTGTTTCACTGGGCCTTTATTTGTGGTATATTTTAGCCATGGCTCAGTAACTAATGTTTAAAAACAAAAATATTTAACCACTTCAATACCAGGCACTTTCACCCCCTTCCTGCCCAGGTCAATTTTCAGCTTTCAGTGCTGTCGCACTTTTTATGATAATTGTGCGGTCATGCAACACTGTACCAATATGACCTTTTTAGCAATTGTTTGAGACAGAGTTTTCTTTTGGTGGTATTTATTCACCATTTTGTTTTTTTGGCTAACCTAAAAGAGCCTGAAAATTGATAATGAGGTTGCACTGATAGGAACTGATAGGCTGCATTGATTGGCACTGATGAGGAGGCACTGATGGGGCTGCACTGCTAATTAGGGCACTGATGATTAGTGCCCCAATTATCTGTGTAAATGTCCCATCTCACTTGCTGGTTACTGGCTCTCCTCTCCTTACGTTGTGACAGCGTATAAGGAAAAGAATGCCGATAACTGGCAAGTTTGCTTACATGCGGTCAGCTGTGATTGGACAAAGCTGATCACATGGTAAAGGCCCACTGTGATTGGCCCTTTACCGCGATCACAGAGTGCGTGGGGTGTATGGTTTTGGGAGGATGTCCATTGGACGCCTTCCTAGAATGAGAGAGTAGCGCTGTAGCTGTCGAGTTTGAAGTGGTTAAAAAACACCAACTGTAACAGCACCCTTTTACCCATGAAGGGTATAATACCAGAGAGGCCCTTGATGACAACTTACATCATCTCTAAGCATGTTGGAGAGAAAAGTCATCATTACAGTGTGTTTGCGAGGATACTTCTGACATAAGGCACTGATGGCTTGTACAACCACAACCTGAAAAACACAATATGTAAACAAATACATGAAAGATCAGATTTGCTGTCAGTATAACCAGCTAAATATTATACATACAGTATATCACCCTATTTTCAACCAAAATTATTTTATCACTTGTGCTTCTAATAAATTCATTTAAAATATGCCCTCTGGCTCATTATCTTACTTTGAATTCATCAGAGATCTCTGAGACAAAAGTAGAAATCTGTTTCATTAGTCTGTCAACGCTGCTTTCACTACCAGTTTTCAGCAATGTAGTGATGGCCAAGGTAGCAATACTGCGGTTGGAATCAGTAATGAGGTTTTCCAGGTCCAGGTTACACGCAGTAACTGCAGATGGATGTTTCATCGCCACCTAAATGAAAATGTAAACACAACACAGTTAAAAATAAAATAAATGTATGACTGAGATTTTATTGGGTTCTGCATTCCTCAAATTATGGCAATACCACTTTGCTGAAAAGTACACATAACCTTGAAATGTATGTAGCTGGTTTGATCTGGATCAAAAATAGGCATTTTTGTCAAAATAGCAAAGTACATGAATGAAAATCACAGATTGGATTGCCCGGTGTAGATCGGTGCAAGTCTGTGCCTTATTGATGAATGTGACACAAAAGCTTTTTGCAGCTTAGTTTTCTATAGCACATTTAAGCCTCATGCACACTAGGCTCTTCTGAATGTTTTTCTCCTGAAAGGAGAAAATCAGCATTAAAAACTCACCAAAAGCCTTTTTTGTTTTAAATGCATTCAGGTGCATCAAGTGTTTGGGCATTTATTAATTTCACTGCCAGAATATTAATTTATTCTGGCCACTGAAATGAATAAAACGCTCAAGTGCTAAACACCTAGCATTTAGATGCATTTAGACACTTCGGGAGTTTTTTATGAGAAAACTTTTCTTTCCTGAATGCAAGTTTGGTGCATTTAGACTTCTGCCCCTAAATGCCCTGCCACTAAGTTCCTCTAAAACACCTGTGTGTGCACAGACACATAGGCTAAGGCTGGCCATAGATGGGCCGTTTATCGGCCAAATTGTTGGCTGATAAACGAAAAACCGCTCATTGCTGCCATGGATGCTGCCACCAATGCTTACAAAAAAATGGCAGTTTTTTTGTGGATTTTCCAGCATGACTGAAAAAAAGAAACGAGAGGATCCGCGAAAAACAGCCGACAGCATTGCCCCACTAATGGTGTGAATATTGGCCGATTTTTCGTTCGGATGAAAATCCAGCCGATAAACGACCCGTCTTTGGCCTGGATAACATAAAGGGACATTTAGGGGCAGAACAAAAAGTCAAACGTCTGTCAAAGGGGCGTTTGACAGCTGCAGTGTGGGGCCTTACAGATGCTTTATTCAGAGCTTTGTATGACTGGGGAAAGCATTAACATTGTGAAAAGTAGGAAGACAAGCATATAAACATGAGTATAGCAAACCTACCTTGTTAAGAGTTCGGACTGCAGCATACCTCAAAGCAGGCTTGGGAGAGCTACAGAAAAGTTGCAGAACTAAAAGTAAACAAAGCAAAAATCACATAAAAAATCATACACGAAATCATGATGATTGATCAATGTACACAAATCAAACCAACTGTATTTTGCCTTATATATAGTAAGCCTTAACTGTCTGTATAACCACATTTACTTTTTTTGTTTAGCACTTGCATGTGGATAAGCCAACCAGATATATTTTACATTTTATTGCAGTTTATGGGGAGGTTCACCCTCTCCATTTGTCTTGGTGACCAATGGCACTGAGACAGAAGGTCATGAGAAATCCCAATATTTTCCAGTTGTCACCAGAACAAGGGGAAATCGGTATTCCAATGGAAGCACCATTTCCAGTGACAGCTGAATTTCCCTCACATTGGAAAAACAAAGTGAAGGGAAAATTCTCCAAGTGGACAAGGATTCTAACCCTGCTCTACTATCTCAAAAAACTATAAGAAACAATTTGGCTACTTTAGGCTTACTTACTGGATCACTTAATCCAGTTATGCATTCATAAGAAATAGAAAATAAGTTAAAAGGGATATTAGAGGTGTTTTTTTTTTGTTTAAGAAATGACAAACATGTCATGCTTATCTGCTCTGTGCAGAGGTTTTGCACAGAGCAGCCCCAATCCTCCTCTTCTCGGGTCTCCCACTGGTGCTGCTGGCCCCTCCCACCTGCCTAGTACCCCAACAGCAAGCATTCACACGTGGAGCTCGACCCGGCCCAGTCCCCTCATCATTGGCTCACAGGCTTGACAGTAGCGGGAGCCAATGGCTACCACTGCTGTCTCAGCCAATGAGGGAGAGACCCAGGAAAGCCAAGGCTCTCATGCACGTTGCTTGATCAAGATGTAACTCAAGTTTTAGGGGGGGGGCTGCTGGGGGGCTGCTGCACAGAGAAGGCTTTCTACCTTGATACATAGAATGCACAAAGCCAAAAACCTTGAGCCTTTACAGGCTTTTTTGAGATTTTCAATACAACAATTATATGTACCATATAATACTCCTCTAATCCTCTGCACAACAGTATTATTATTACAGGTACTTATATAGCGCCGTCAGTTTAAGCAGCGCTTTACATATATATTGTACATTCACATCAGTCCCTAACCCTCAAGGGGTGTACAATCTAAAGTCCTTAACTTACATTCATACATACATTCATTTATATAGACAGGAGCCAATTAACCTAACAGTATCTTTGGCGTGTGGGAGGAGACTGGAGTACCCGGAGGAAACCCACGCAGGCACAGGGAGAACATGCAAACTCCAGGCAGGTGGTAACGTGGTTGGGATTCGAACCAACGACCCTAGTACTGCCAGGCGAAAGGGCTAACCATTTAGCCACTGTGCTGCCCACAACAGTACACAAACTGAGAAAGAGAGGGAGGTTTTGCAGTCAAAGCTGAGTTGTACAACATTAACAGCAACATCATGAACATGTTCACAAGAAAGTGAAAACACAGACCTAACATCATCAATTTGCTGAAGCTCCTGGACTGTCCAATCACAGGTTAAGACCTAGGCAAGTCTGTACTGCTTAAGGTTAAACTAGACGAATTAGTGTCTTTTTTAAACACGACTTAAGCTGGGTGCACACAGGCTGAAAATAACCTGAAAAACGGTAAGTTCAGCAGGAGCTGGACAACGTTTGGCCCATGTGTACAGCTTCCTGACTGGCTACTGTCAAACAAATATGCTGGAAAACTAGCATCTTATTAGCGCTGGCAGCCAATGGCTGAGAGCGTTGATCAGTGTGTCCTGGTTGGGGGGCCATTATCCAGTCAGAACACAATAGCTCAGCGAGGGAGATCGCCACGCTAACATTGCATAGTTAGTACAGCGACCTCTCAATTTTTTTTTTTCCTTCAGCCCGCTATTTGAACGAAAAAAAAAAAATCTATACGTGTGTACCTAGCATAACTATGTAAGCCAAACTGAAGCCAATACAGTGGGGTCTCCAGCAGTCAGAGAGTCCCCCTGTACTGTGCTCCAATCAAGAACGCAGGAAGTGTGAACACTCTTGATTCAACAGGGCTTTAACTGTACTGTGGTCAGCAGAAAGTTTCAGCACTGGACTGTGCTCCTTGTCAGGAGTGCCTGGATCAAAAGATTTGCTGAAAGTTTCAAAACCTCTGGCAAATTAAACAATTCTGATAAACATTTTCCTATTGTAAATCTAGATGCTGGGAGTTCAGCTTCTGATTAGAAATTCTGACCACTAAATTTCAATATTAATTAAAAAGGAAATAAAAAACGAAATAAAAAAACTATTAAAAAATGGAATATTCCCCTTAAATCAACAAAATACATTCTGGATGCATCAAAACAAAAAAAGAAAGTAAAATGCTTTATAGGTTGTTTTCTTTCTAAGGCAAGCAGTGTCTCAGTCACTGCCACCAGCTACAGATTGGATCCTTTGCTCCCTGTGTGGCAGGGACAGGCTTTTTGAGTGAAATAAAATAAAAGCTTTATCTGTTTGGAATATGCAGTCTAGTAAAGCCATGTTACCATAGCCACTATGAACAGATCACTGCTACGTATGTATTGTGAGAAAATTATGAAAAAAACTGATGCAAAGCTTAGGGAGTGTAGTATTCTGACAAAGAAATACCTTTTAATTATTTCATATAAAAACAAAAAATGTACAAAGCAAAACCTATACTGGATCAGGAAAACCGCTCTACAGACTGGCAAGTAAGTCAGTGCATATGTTGTAGAAAATTGGCAAGGGGAGGGACAAAGAAAAAGTATCAAAGAATTATTTACAGAAAGCAAAAGGATAGGCATGTGTACACTTGGCAAATGGAACAAATTTATATATATGTATTTTATATACATACACACAAGTGATACATACATTTTTTATTAGTTTGTTATGTATTTAATCTATATACACATTCCACCAGCTGTAAAGCTATTGGGGATTTTTAGATTGCTAACAGCACTGAAAGTAATTCATATTTACCTTAAACTGCTCTATCTAGTGTCCAAGTTTTAGTTGTTATTTTTTCACACTCTCTCTCTGTGTACACACACGGGCACATACACACAAATACACTGCTCAAAAAAAAGTAAAGGAACACTTTGAAAACACATCAGATCTCCATGGGGAAAAATATCATGCTGGATATCTATACTGTTATGGACTGGGAAATGTGTTAGGAATGTGAGGATGCCCCATTGTTTGATGGAAATGAAAATTATCAATCTACAGAGGACTGAATTCAAAGACAACCCGAAAATCAAATTGAAAAAATGATGCAGTCCATTTTGTTTCACTGCAGCAACTCAGAATGGTACACAGTGGTTTGTATGGCCCCACGTGCTTATATGTATGCCTGACAAGGTCGGGGCATGCTCCTAATGAGATGAAAGATGGTGCCCTGGAGTATGTCCTCCCAGATCTGGACCAGGGCATCACTGAGCTCCTGGACAGCCTGAGGTGCAACCTGGCAGCGGCGAATGGACCGAACCATGAAATCCCAGGGGTGTTCTATTGGATTTAGGTCAGGTGATTGTGGGGGCCATTCAGTGATATCAATTCCTTCATCCTCCAGGAACTGCTTGCATACTCTTGCCACATGAGGCCGGGCATTGTTGTGCACCAGGAGGAACCCAGGATCCTCTGCACCAACCGGTCTTGAAGGAGCTCTGCACACCGAAACGTGTCACCGCTCCATGCTCACGTCACTTCCGGTCCGTGGACAAGCTCCCCCTGCAGCTGCTGGCTGGCACAGCAGTTCCATCGCTTAGAGGAAAGAGCCCTGCTACTGATGGATTACATTAGAGCCTTTTTATACTACCACATTGTAAGTGTTTTTAATCACTTTTATTAAAAGTTGACCTTGGAATACTGCACTTGGAAGTGCCTTCCTGTTTCATCTTCAACTGATTAACAACTCCCTCTGCTACTTAACTGACCAGATCAATATCCCAGGAGTTTAATGGACTTGCTATACTCTGATCAAAAAGTGTTCCTTAAATTTTTTTGAGGTGTGTGTATATGTGTGTGTGTGTATATATATATATATATATATATATATATATATATATATATATATTTATATATATATATATATATACATACACACACACAGTGGGGAAAAAAAAGTATTTAGTCAGCCACCAATTGTGCAAGTTCTCCCACTTAAAAAGATGAGAGAGGCCTGTAATTGGCATCATAGGTAGACCTCAACTATGAGAGACAAAATGAGAAAAAAAATCCAGACAATCACATTGGCTGATTTGGAAAGAATTTATTTGCAAATTATGGTGGAAAATAAGTATTTGGTCACCTACAAACAAGCAAGATTTCTGGCTCTCACAGACCTGTACCTTCTTCTTTAAGAGGCTCCTCTGTCCTGCACTCATTACCTGTATCAATGGTACCTGTTTGAGGTTGTTATCAGTATAAAAGACACCTTCCACAACCTCAAACAGTCACACTCCAAACTCCACTAGGGTGAAGACCAAAAAGCTGTCGAAGGATACCAGAAACAAAATTTATTTATTATACATGATTTATATAGCGCCAACGTTTTGCGCATCACTTTACAAAATGTAGGTAGACATTACAGTTACAATACAACTTGGTACAAGAGGAAACAGAGGGCCCTGCTCGTTAGAGCTTACAATCTAGGATATATATATATATATATATATATATATATATATATATATATATATATTAATATATACACATACATACACACACTACATATCTTTCTCAGATTACATACAGATCCATTTCCTCATGTACATGGTTGGTACTGTTAAATGGCTTTTGAGTCATAATGCATAGCTGTTCAAGCAACAAAAGGCTGCGTTTGACCTGCATTGCCAGCAATGCAAATGTATCTGAATGCAACCTGTTGCATCCAAAGTTATGCAAAGCAAAACAGGTTAAATGCAGCCTCAGAACTGTCATCCAAACTTTACTATTAGGGTCCATGCATACTGGGCTTAAAAAATGCCAGTTCTTTTGGCAGAAAGAAATGCACATATAGAGCATTTTTGTAAAGGTGTTTAGAAGTGTTTTACATTTTTTTTTCTGCCAGTAAACTGCTCTCAAAAACGCAATCCAGAAGGGTTTTTTCTGCCTTCAAATGCAGAGCTTGAAATAAGTCTAAATGTCCGAATGTGCATGGATACATAGGACAAAACTGAGATGATTCTACAGGCAAAATGCTAAACTCTTCTAAAAGCAGCGTTATTTTAAGCCATTGTGCATGGACCAAGTTTAACACACACATCAAACATGGCAAAACAATACCTGTTTACACAAGCACTAAGCCTGTTTGAAGCAAGATGATGTTCTCTTACCTGACACAGCTGGGGCTAGTTCTCTCGCAGTGCAGTTGGGCAAGTGAATGATGGCTGACGCTGCCTCATAGATAACCATTTCATGTTTGTTCCGAAGGCAACTTTTTCAATAAAGTCAAACAAGGGACTGTTGTGCCTATATACACAAAAACAATACATGAATGATGAACTATAAAAGAAAAGGCTTCTAAAAAATAAAAAGGGGCAAGTTGGTGTGGGGACAGGGTAGCTAAGAAATCAGGAATGCAAACATTCAAAACATATTGTAAAAGAGTAGAACAAACCCCAAAATCTTTAAATATATTGCCAAAAAAATCAGGCCTGAGCAAGTAGGCTCTTTACAAGATAACACAGAGTTGGTCACTGGAGACAACAAAAAGGCAAATGTATCAAATACCTTCTTCAGCTCTGTGTTTTCAAAGCAAAATGGTGGAGCTCGGGTACATAATGCGATGTTTGTGCCACAGACTCCCATGGGCCCAATGGCCCAAAATTGATATGGTTCAGTAACTGGCAAACACCAGTGAAAACAACCTAAACTAATGGCTTATACCCGTGTGTTCTTAAAGAGCTGAGCTCTATAAGGTCTAAGACATTGTTAATAATTTTTAGAGAACCTTTAATGACCGGCTTGGTACCAATCTATTACCAAAGGCCAATGTGATGCCTATATTTAAAAGAGGTCAAAATCTTTAGCAAGTATCTAGAGGCCAGTCAGTTTAACTTCTATAGTCGGTGAAATATTTGAGAGAGAAAAAAAAAAAAACACATAGATGAGTTTTTGCGAAGCAAAAGCCCAAAGAAACACACTTACATAAGCAATAGTCTGCAAGGATTCACAAAAGGCCAAAGTTATCAAACAAATCTGCTTTCTTTTTTGAGAAAGTAAGCAAAACCTTAGACAAAGAAGAGGCTGAAGAAATAGTATACTTGGACTTAGCAAAAATGTTTGGCACGATTCCCCACAAATGGCTAATGTGTATGTAAAGGTCTGCAGGCCTGAAAAACTCAGTCTGAATATAGTTTTTAAGCCAGCTTTTATCCATTTACATGGATAAAAGGAGTAGTGATTAAAGATTCATATTCTGAACAGCTCAAGGTTGTTAGTGATATATCCCAAGGTTTAGTGTTGGGACCCTTATGAAATAAAGCCCTGCAATTTACAGGCAGACCTGTATTGATATACTGGACAACTACAGTATGTGGCAAACAAGGTTCAATGTTGAGAAATGTAAAGTTATACACCTGAAAGCTACAAATATGCATGCATCATACAGTCTAGGAGGTGTACAACTGGGGCAGTCAATGATTGAGAAGCACTGGCAGTTCTGCTAAATTATAGTTAGAGAGACAGAGGTGGTAGGAGGCATGGAGGATCTCAGCTATAAAGAGAATCTCAAATGTATTGTCCCTTGACAAGAGGTGACTAAGAAAGATGCATTCCTAAATGAAAATAATATATGGATATCTTTGTCAGGATAAACTGTGGGGCAGGGCTCTGTGTACGGAGGTTTTCTAATTGTTTCCTCTTTTTCTAATTGTTTATTCTTTTTATTTTTTCATTTTTTTTAGTCTATGTAAGAATGTAATTATAGGACAGGCATCTTAAAATAAAAGGCCAGTCTATATTGCTCCCTCCATTTCATATAAAGATACAATAGCAGGCTTATAGAAGCCCAAAATGAAAAAGCTAAGTCAATTGAGACACTAGAATGAGGAAAGTTGTGTTCTCTAATATAAAATGTATCAGGCATTTTCACATTAAAAGAGAGTTCAGTATGACTTATCTGACTGATATCACAGCTTATCAATAATCAGATGTGGTTTCTGCATTAGTTTTCTTTTATAAGTTTTTTCCCCCTTTGTTTTCACTTGATCTAGTCAGTAACGCACCTCCTGTATTAGAGTGCCCCCACTCTGGATGAAGGAGCACAGGGGGCCCCTTTGGACAGCAGCACTGTCAATTTTAAGGGAGGGGAATGTTAGATGTACTAGCAAATTTAAATATACTAACAAACTGAAGCCAAACTCCAGCTAATACTTTATAAGCTGTTAGAGTAAACAGTTCAGTTCCTTTAGGGATAAATAAATAAAAGCTGATCATCATAAGCATTCCTGTCAGTGGTAAATGGTTTCTCTCATCCCTGGAACTGCTATATCTGCAAAAAAAGCTTGTTCTTTTAAAAAACAACAGGCGTATGGCTTAATTACCAGGTGAAAATAAAGATAAAAAGCCTAAAAAGAAAACTAATGCAGTTACCATATCTAATATTGGTAAGCGACAATATAATAAATGTTTGCTTTCTGGGTTTTTTACGGCTTTAAAAATCACAAAACCCTGTTCTGGTTTTATTTGTTACGAAGGACTAAACTTCTTCTGACTTTGCTAAAAACTGCATATGCCTTGCTGTGCAATGAGATGCTCGCACTGGGAAGGTCACCACTTTGAATCTGTCCATCAAATCAACACTGATTAGCAGGAAACATGTTTAGAGTAGAAAGAGCACAGTAATATGTTATTACTATATTATTCCCACTCACAGGCTGAGCCAGGTCCTAAACCTACTTAAGTATTACTTAACTACTGTGTATTCTACAGAACAAACCAGGACCTGGATGTGTTTGCCAGGGGTGTCTGGATCATAAGACTTTGGTAGGCAAAATTATTCACAGATATCCATTATAACTGAAAGTTAACAGTTTAACCTCCCTGGCAGTATTCCTGAGTGTAGCTCGGGGTAAAGTTTCAGTACCAAAAGCGGTAACCCCAAGCTACACTCGGGCTAACCATGCGGCCTTGCTCAGGGATTCCCTGCAGCGCTTACCTTGTCCTTCGCTCCCGCGATGCATCCCCTGCAGCATCCCCGGCCATCTTTTCCGGCCGATGCCGGCATCCGGCTTCCGTGTTCCGGTCCCTGCAAGCGTTGGGACGTACGGGGGCCGGAACCGGCGGCAAATTTAAAATTTTTTAAATCTGTCATTTTCTAATAAACGAATATTACATAGTAAAACATTACTGTTTCAAAGCATTTCACATACATTTTGTCCCGAGTGCTTTGTCCTGTGCCCTGCCTACATTTTTACTGTTCTTTCTGCCTGGAAACTTAGAAAGTCCATGGCGTCCAAAAAGCGTCCATTTATGTCAAAAGCGGTTTTAGATTAGCTAGAGAACAGCGATAGTAAATCAGAACCACTTGCAGAATTGAGTGATAATGATTCGTGGGGAAATTCGTCATCAGACACTGAAACCGATTCTGTGACTGATCTCAGCGATGTGCGAACTTGGCGCTATATTTCAAATTTCAGTGTTTTTGGTTTGATTATATTATTGAATTAAACGTATTAATATTATATTATTATTTTTTATGATTATTTATTAAATTATAATTTATGATTTCGTGTTTCAAGTTTTATCATACCCGGGATGTTTACTAGACTCTTGTTCAGACAGATTTCAGTGAGTTATTCCTAAAAATTACAGCCTACAATAAAAAAACTACGTATTTTCATGCAAAAAAATGTACCGCTTTCAGCACAGAAATATGGACATAATCACACTGCTAGGGAGGTTAAGTAGAGTTCAGTTTTAAAGTGCTTAATATAAAGACAATTTGCCTTACCCCTCATCAGACTCCTCTATTAACCGGCTAGCAATTCGAATCAACATGCAGTATGCAAATGGGGATTTCAGCCCAGATTTAGTAAACTTATTTATCATTTTTGCCACAGCCAGCCGATCATTCTTCCGCAAATAGTAGAGAAGTCCCAATGCATGATACTGTTGAAAAGGCAACACAGATGTTAGTCACAATAAACCCCCCCCCCCCCCCAAAAAAAAAAAAGTATTAATATATAAATATATATATATACACACACACACACACACAAACACACTGTATGCAGGTGTGTGTGTATGTACATGTTTTTATGCATTTCTAAATTTACATACTGGGTTGTAGTCATTTTCCCCATAGGTCACTTGTGAGGTCATAAAAAGACATCATATTCAATTTCTGATTACATTAACAGAAAAGCATTTATGAATGCTTCACGCTGCAGCTAAGTGCCCTGTAGTTGTCAGGCACTTGTGGTTTACCAGACACATGGAGAGAAATTAAAGCAGATCTTCAGTCTCTTTTTAAACTTCCTTCTATTAGTATTCTCTCCTCTTTAAATGCCAATGGTAGAAAAAAATAAAACATTTTTAGCTCCAAATACTTTTTTTCCCCATAGTTCCTGTCCACTTCCTGCTTCCCTGCCGAGGCAAATGACATCAAAACTCTTCTCTGTTGACTCCTGGGATATTTTCATCAGAAATCCTAGGAGTCTTCAGGCTTTTTTTGTTTTTATTGTGAGAGGGGGAGAGCGGAGGGGAGCTGGAGGAGGCGTAAGACAGGCAAAGATGGGTGGAGAGGGGAGGAGGAAGAATTGAAACAATGTGTAGTTCTCAGACACGGATTCAGATGTAATCTGCAGATGCTCAGACATGCTGTGTACCAATTTACTGTGCATGGAAGGATTCATTGTGTACAGTATATGTGCAGACTCGCATTGTGGAGGGAATGGCATGAATTCCATGGAAAACTGAGGGAGCTGGCTTCAGCTGCCCTCAGTTAAAAGGCTGCAGTGACAAATAAAGTGAGTGCAGTTACAGCCTGCTTTTGTATACTGAAAAAATGGCAGATTAAGAAAAATTAAAATGATATTAAAAGCTGAAGGTTTTTTACCTTCATGCAATCTATGCATGAAGTTGAAAAACCTTCTGTGTACAGCGTCCCTCCCAGTACCCCCCCCCAATCCTTACCTGAGTCCCCTCAAATCCAGCGATGATCACAAGAGCCTCTGCTCTACAGGGACTCTCCCTCCTCATTGGTTCATTGGCTCCCACTGCTGTCAATCACAGCCAGTGAACCAATGAGGAGAGAGTGGGGAGGTCAGCCGCGGCTCTATGTGTCTTATGGACGCATAGAGCAGCGGGTCTGGAGCGAGCACGCATCAGTGCCCCCAGAGCAAGTTACTTGCTCTGGGGTACTGCTCGAGGGGAAGGAGCAATGATCGCCAGTGGGGACCCAAGAATAAGAGGATTGGGGCTGTTCTGTGCAAAACCACTGCACAAAAAGCAGGTATGTATGACATGTTTGCCATAACAAGAAAAAAAAAAAACGAGGCTTTAATACCACTTTAAATATGTAAATCACATCACTGAAGTTTTTATATGCTGCATATATTTTTTCACAACTTGTTAAAGTGTGACTGAAGTTCCTCTTTAACACAGATTATAGATAAACACTATAATAGTGCTGGTGACACCGGGGTCAACAGCTATACACTCCCTCATCCTCCCCTCTCAAACCTGCTGAAGAGTGAACATGTGCCTGACCAAAATATACCTAAACTGCAGCTGGGTTCAGTCCTATCCAACGTGTCATAAGCATCATCTGTGAACTTCTGGAGGACAAGTGAATTGATCTGTTTCTATCCAAGGAGAACTGCACAAGGCAAGTACGGCAAGAATGACAGGATGAACAAGAGTACAATTCATTCAGTTCACGCTAATCACTAGGAGTTATAGTTGCCTACTGTGTACTTCATACTGGCAAGTCCGACAGCTCAGCAACCAGATCTGGAGGCCTCAGATTTACAGTAAACTTTAGTTTTTTCTATATTTAAATATTAATAAACTGTAAAGACTATTCCCTGGAAATATGGTATATGCTACATGCATAAATGTACCTGAACCATGATGTTGTCACTAGAAGCAGCTTCTTGTGCCTCATTGATCCATCGTTTTACCACATCATAGCTTATTTTCATCATATGCTAAAATGATAAAGTGCAGAGGGGTTACTTACAAAAAAAAACATTTACATCACATTATATACAACACTGCAGGACTTAGCTAGAATTATCTTTATAAAATAAATTCTAACTGTCTACGAAGGTTTATTTCAGGGGTGCACAACTCAATCCCTGTAGGTCAAAAGGCTCCCGATGCTATCAGTTGTCTTTTTCCTATTGCAGAATTTCCATCACTTCCCATACAGTAAAATGTGACAGGAGATCTCTTTAAAGAAAGGCGCCCCAGATAGCAGCAAAATCTAACAGGAGCTGATTCTTTCCAAATCAAAAACAAAATGTTTTGGGTATAGATGAACTTTAATTTATAGAAATGTACACATACATACCAAGGAGGATACCAGTGCAGAACTGGAGACACTAGGAACTTTATCCACAATAGCCTGCTTCATGTACCGCTCAATAGCCTGCAGCATAGTGGCCTGTCACAAATAGCAATACAAGTTTTAGTTTGTGTTGGAGAAAGATAAGCCTAAAATGAAATTTATGACATGCTAGCATCATTTCAGTTTATTACCCATCACCATAATTATATTAAGCGCAACTTTCCATTCACTGCATGCCTTTTAAAAAAACCAGTGACCGATAAACATTTCTAGTCACTTCTTAAAAAAATAAAAAAATAACCCCAGAGCACCACCTTTGACTTGGATGGTTACTTACGTCAGTAATTCGGCAAAGTGCACGGATAGCTGGCCCACGGTAAACATCTTCTTTTCCAGTCATGTCCTTGGTCAGACTGCCAGAATGAAATTATCCAAAAGGTTAATTCAATAAATATCAGTAGACATCTGATTGGAAAGCAACATTAGGGTATCTCTTTGCTCTGAGAAATTAGATACAAGCATCAAAGGCTTCTATTTATTACCATGGCTGGAAACTGAAATATTAGATAAATGATCTACTGAAATGTCAAAGACCAAACTACTTATCAAACTATTGCATATATCAAACCATCAGTTGTGGATGAAAAGGATGTTTTCATTTGAAAAATCCAACCTAGGCATTAAAGCGGTCGTAAAGGCTTAAAGTGGTTGTAAAGGCTCAAGGTTTTTTACTTTCATGCATTCTATGCATGAAGGTAAAAAAACCTTCTGTGTGCAGCAGTGCCCCCAGCCCCATCAATACTTACCTGATCCTCATTGTGATCCAGAGATGTGCACGACAGCCGCGGCTGTCCTGGGTCTCTGCCTCCTCACTGGCTCAGAGAGCAACTAAGAGACATTGGCTCCTGCTGCTGTCAATCACAGCCAGTCAGCCAATGAGGAGAGAGAGGGGGCAGGGCCAAGCCGCGGCTACATGTGTGAATGGACACACAAAGCAGCAGGTGCCTTCATAGCAAGCTGCTTGCTGTGGGGGCACCCGCCAGGAGGGATGGGCCAGGAGAGCCTGCGGGGGACCCGAGAAGTTGAGGATCCAGGCTACTCTGTGCAAAACCACTGCAACCAGCAGGTAAGTAAGGCATGTTTGTTTTCCCAAAAGAAAAAAAAAAAATCAATCTTTAGAATCACTTTAAGGCTTTTTACCTTGATGCACTTTATGCGTGAAGGTAAAAAACCTTCAGTGCGCAGTGGTCCCCCTTAATACTCACCTGAGCCTGATCACGGTCCAGCAATGTGCACAGGAGACTTTCTGGGTCTCTCCCTCCTCATTGGCTGAGATATGCTGCAGTAAATCACAGCCTGTGAGGAAAGAGCGGCAAACTCATTGCACAAAGCAGGTAAGTATGAAATCTTTGTTATTTTAAAATGAAAAAAAAAAAAAAACAAGGCTGTAGTATCACTTTAACCACTTCCCGACCGCCCTATAGCAGAAATTCTGCTACAGGGCGGCACGTGTGTGTAAAATCACATATATATACGTGATTTTGCATTTCCGGGTAGGGGCGTGCGTGCCATTCGCGGCCGCAGCTGTCAATCACCAGGTCCTAGCTGGTGATTACTCGCCAGCGCCTGGTGATTACTGAGGATCTCCGTTGGGGAGGAGAACTGTCTAGTTTACTAACAGTTCTCCATGTCAGCTCGGACACACTGCTTTGGATGGCTGTTCACAGCACAACCATTCAAAGCAGTGTGCTTACAGTGAAGCACACTGACACCGCCTCATAGTAAAACACACCCAACATAGTTAACCCTTTGATAGCCCTGCGTTTCCATAGGGTGAATTTTAGCAAAAAGTTTAAAAGAGGTGAATATCCTTCCATGATTAAGCCAATCCACATAGTAGTGCATGTTCAATTTGTGTATGGATCGGAAAATACTTTTTTTTTTTTTTTTTTAGCCAGCCTCTTAGCACCCACAGGGGCATATTTTGACTGTGGAAGATCAGGTGCTGCTAGACAAAGGCTAATCCGCACCACATCAATCAGTGTATTGACAGTGCAAAGCATTTGTCAAGTAGCCATAACTTTTTTATTTTTTGCGCTATAAACAAAAAAAAAAGAGCAAAAATTTTGAAAAAAAAAAAAGTTTGAAAAAAAAAAAAGTTTGAAAAAAAAAAAAAAAAAAAAAGAATGATGGGCACTGATAGGCGGCACTGATGGGTGGCACTGACGGACGGCACTGACTGGCGGCACTTCTGGGCATTGATGGATGGCACTGGTGGGTGGCACTGATCATCAGGGCACTGATCATCGGTGCTGATCGATCCTCTGACAATTGCCGATTATCGGCAGTACTTTCCTCACGCTGTGACAGCGTGAGAAAAGTGCCGCCGATAATCAACAACTGTATTTACCGGTGATATGCTGTGTCACTGGACACGGCTGATCACGTGGTAAAAAGCCGCCGTCATTGGCCTTTTACCACATCACGTGATCAGCTGTGTCTGTAGACACAGTGATCATGGAGATCACTGGGTGTGCGCCCCCAGGGGCGTGCGGGAGGGTGCGTTCTGGGAGGACGCGTTCTGGGAGGACATCATATGACGCCCTCCCAGAACTGGCCAGCCGCAGTGAAGCTGTCATTTGGCTATCTGAGGTCAGCAAGTGGTTAAAAGGTAAAAAATATTTTCCAGAGGGAAAGAGGCCCATCACCCAAGGAGACTAGAAAAAAAACCAGAAGTTTCACAAAGGGGGTGGAGTTATACAAGCATGCTCCTAGCAAAGTTTTTTCCAATGTCCAATCACCTGAACGTAGCCTGCATATAATCCGTGGTCTATGAATAAAGGCCCTTTTTCCTGTACTGTATGATTAAAGTGGTTTTGAAGGCAGAAGGTTTTTTACCTTAATGCATTCTATGTCAATCACAGCCAGTGAGCCAATGAGGAGAGAGCGGGGGCAGGGCCGAGCCACATTCTGTGTGTGAATGGACAATATCCATTCATAGGAGCGCAGCTCAAAAGCGAGTCGGAGGGGAACCAAAAAGAAGAGGATCGGGGCTTCTCTGTACAAAATCATTGAGCAGAGCCAGTAAGTATAACATGTTTGTTTATTTTTACCTTTAGAATCATTTTAAGCTAAACAAACATGCACCTTCTGACATAACGTACTATACTGCATTAATGTGAATTCTGGAGCGCTGCACTGCATGTGCACTGGAGGTGGGTGGTCTTAGTACGTTCGAGTGCTGTTAAAAATAACTGACATCACAAAGTACTAGGGCATGTAACGTGCAGTAACACAACTGAGAGATGTAAATGGGACTGTATACTTTTACAGATCTTAACAGATAGGAAGAAAAATGATCTTAGATTACAGCTGCAGAAACGTATTACATGTTGTATATGAATTTGACAAGGATTTCACTTTACCTGCTTGTAACAATAATGACATCTTCAGAGATATTGGCCATCTCTTTGATAGTTAGATAACACATCCTTCGCAGGGTTTGCTGAAAGCACACAAAGTCATTTATACAGAAGAAATAAATGAAACACAATATGCAGTGAACTATGAGCTCTTGCTAACTAAGAATATTTTTTAGTTTCTGAAACAAATATATAGGCAGAGTAATCTTTTTACACACATTTCTTGCAGCTCATGAGAGAGATAGGCATGCCCAAATGCAATGTGCCTGCGCAGGAATACATTGTTCACTTCTAGCGGGCACACATTTCATAAACAGATTCCACAATCTTTTACAAGAAACAAAATGTTTTTTTACAACCAGCTAGTTATCCACTTCTCATTGAGAAGCAGGAGGGTTTTGCAGCATGCTGGAAATTCTCTGCAAGTAATGAGTGCTACTAATATATGGAATCTCATTTATTTTTTCCATAGCACACCTACTAGGCCCAGGTTACAGGGAAATGTAATCACTACAAAGAAATGTGTTTGTTAAGAGGATAACAACTATCATCAAGGGATTGCTAAAGAACTGCGATATGAGAAAGGAAGCAATAAAGAGCTTCTACCAGTCTCTTATCATGGTTACTGTTAAATGGAATAGCAAGAGAAATGGAATAAGTTACTTTAAATTTGTTGCTCCCAAATGATTAAAAATGTCCCTATAGATTTAGCTTAAGCAGCCTAGACATTACCAAGGCATCACATTGCACTGTCAAACAAGGAGCAGGACCAAGCTCTTTATGATCACCATTATTATATAGAGATGCTGAGTATCACTTACATCATTTGACTGGAATAATCTGGTCATAGCAAAGAATGCTTCAGTGGCCTCCATTGTTCCAAAGTGTTCACCCTGTAAAAGGGAAACATCATAGTCAATTATATTTACAAACTTTGCTATTTTATTCATATTGAAAATCCTGTTTTGATTTAAAAACAAAAACACTGGCCCAGTTGCATCCTTAAAGCAGAGCTCGAGGCTCTTCCAAAAAAATTAAGTCAGCAGCTACAAATAATATATCTGCTGACTTTTAATATTAGGACACTTACCTGTCCAGGGATCCAGTGATTTCCTCACCCCAGCCAATTCTTCAATTAGTTTTGGATGTAGGTGCCGGCATCTTAAGTAAGGAAAACTGGCAGTGAAGCCGTGAGGTTTCACAGACGGTTTTCTACTGCGCTGCGCTTTGTCAATAGACCCACAGTCTTCTGAACCTCTGAAGAGTCATAGAAGACTGTGGGAGAAGGACGGGGAACTGAACTTCCTGGCTCAGATTGCCACAGCCTACCTGACAGGAATTGGGAGTGGGTACCTATCAAAACCAGGTACCCCCCCCCCCCCCAAAAAAAAAAAGTGCCAAATGTGGCAGTGGAAGGGGAGGGGGATACAAACAAGTGGAACTTCCCCTTTTGGGTGAATTTCCACCTTAAAGCCCCACTGAACTTTCAGTTTATATCAACTACCTATATTCAAGATGTATCAAAGAAAAGGTGTGCAAAGTCTTACAGTTTGCTTTCTTTAAAAGCAATAGCCTGAGCAGGAAAGCCTGTCCCCTGCCAGCATGCTGCATGGAACAAGTAAGCCCTCATTCACATGGGCCTCCTGCATCTGTGTTATTTAAATGTAGGATAAAATGATCTGGAAAGTATAAACAAACTTTATAGTTTACAGAACAATTTCTCCGGCATTTACATGTAACATATAAACGGGGGGTAGTATACAAGAGCGCTCACTGCAATCCACTTTTGTTTTTTGTACATGTAACATATGTTTACACATGTTGAGAGTATCTAATCTGACCCTCAAAGCACAAATTTCTCTTTTTCAAAAAAAAAAAAAAAAAAAAAAAATCGCAGTGTCAACCATATTATTTCATCATCTTGTGTTGCGCTCCTTATTAAATTGTAGTGACAAAGTGAATATTATATTTCATAATGTTACCTAAACATAAATGATCATAAATTCATATATAGAATAATAACTTATAAAAAAGTATAATATTAATCCATATTCGTGATTAAATAATAAATAATGATTAATTGTGAATCATAATTTAGTGAAAAAATAAAAATTACCGTGAATAAATACTCATAAAATAAATTAATTAATTTTTAGTGCAAAAGCATAGTCCCATTAATCATAAAAATATATATAAAGTGACTCTGTGTCCTAAAAATCTTGAATCCATGACTGATTGTGAATCCGTGATAAAAATATTTTGGCGTAACGCGTAGGGGTGGGGCTGCAACGTCACTCGGAGAGAGCCAGAATACTACACGGACGGCAGGTGCATGACTCAATGGTCGGCGGAGGACACGCTATATTTTGGATTGCCGCATACCGTCTTCACTATATGTGAGTGTACTACTTGGAAGGAATAAAGCAGTGTTTTTAAAAAGATAAAACACTATGTCTGGCATTTGTTTTCTGCATGTGGAGAAACGCATGGAGAGGAGAGTATAGGGGTCTGTATCACTGTGAGGAGTGATTAACCCCAGAGAGGATAATCAGCTCTAAAGGATATTCCTGCTCCGTAATTTAAAGAGGAGAAAATTCTAACAAGCAGGTCCCAAAGGAGGTGGACCAAAAGTGTATATAGCCTAATTGCAGGCATATCAGGAGGTGAGCTTACATCTGCACTAATTGGAGGATTCACAAATATTTTTATCACGGATTCACAATCAGTCACGGATTCAAGATTTTTAGGACACAGAGTCACTTTATACAGTCATGGCCGAAATTGTTGGCACCCTTGATATATTTTTCCTGAAAATCAAGTATTTCACACAAAAAAGGTATTGCATTAACACATGTTTTGCTATACACATGTTTATTCCCTTTGTATGTATTGGAACAAATATAAAACAGAGGCAGAAAAGCAAATATGACATAATGTCACACAAAACCCCAAAAATGGGCTGGACAAAAGTATTGGCACCCTTAACTTAATATTTGGTTGCACACCCTTTGGAAAACATAACTGAAATCAGTCGCTTCCTATAACCATCAATAAGCTTCTGACACCTCTCACCCGGAATTTTGGACCACTCTTCCTTTGCAAACAGCTCCAGGTCTCTCTTATTGGAAGGACACCTTTTCCCAACAGCAATTTTAAGATCTCTCCACAGGTGTTCAATGGGATTTAGATCTGGGCTCATTGCTGGCCACTTCAGAACTCTCCAGCGCTTCTTTGCCATCCATTTCTGAGTGCTTTTTGACGTATGTTTGGGGTCATTGTCCTGCTGGAAGACCCAGGATCTTGGACGCAAACCCAGCTTTCTGACACTGGGCCCTACAGTGCGACCCAAAATCCTTTGGTAATCCTCAGATTTCATGATGCCTTGCACACAGTCAAGGCACCCAGTGCCAGAGGCAGCAAAACAACCCCAAAACATCATTGAACCTCCACCATATTTTACCGTAGGTACTGTGTTTTGTTCTTTGTAGGCCTCATTCCGTTTTCGGTAAACAGTAGAATGATGTGCTTTACCGAAAAGCTCTATCTTGGTCTCATCTGTCCACAAGACGTTTTCCCAGAAGGCTTTTTGGCTTACTCAAGTACATTTTGGCAAACTGTAGTCTTGCTTTTTTATGTCTCTGTGTCAGCAGTGGGGTCCTCCTGGGTCTCCTGCCATAGCGTTTCATTTCATTTAAATGTCGACGGATAGTTCGCGCTGACACTGATGCTCCCTGAGCCTGCAGGACAGCTTGAATGTCTTTGGAACATGTTTGGGGCTGCTTATCCACCATCCGGACTATTCTGCGTTGCAATCTTTCATCAATTTTCCTCATCCGTCCACGACCAGGGAGATTAGCTACAGTGCCATGGGTTGCAAACTTCTTGATAATGTTGCGCACTGTGGACAAAGGCAAATCTAGTTCTCTGGAGATGGACTTGTAACCTTGAGATTGTTGATATTTTGCCACAATTTTGGTTCTCAGGTCCTCAGACAGTTCTCGTCTCCTCTTTCTGTTGTCCATGCTTAGTGTGGCACAGACAGACACACAATGCAAAGGTTAAGTGAACGTCTCTCCTTTTTATCTGCTTTCAGGTGTGATTTCTATATTGCCCACACCTGTTACTTGCCCCAGGTGAGTTTACAGGAGCATCACATGCTTGTAACATTCTTATTTATCCGCAGTTGTGAAAGGGTGCCAATACTTTTGTCCAGCCCATTTTTGGAGGTTTGTGTGACATTATGTCGAATTTGCTTTCTTTCCTCCCTTTTTTTGTTTTGTCCCAATACACACAAAGGGAATAAACATGTGTATAGCAAAAAACATGTGTTAATGCAATACGTTTCGTGAGAAAATACATGATTTCCTGGAGAAATATCAAGGGTGCCAACAATTTCGGCCATGACTGTATATATTTTTATGATTAATGGGACTATGCTTTTGCACTAAAAATTAATTTATTTATTTTATGAGTATTTATTCACGGTAATTTTTATTTTTTCACTAAATTATGATTCACAATTAATCATTATTTATTATTTAATCGAATATGGATTAATATTATACTTTTTTATAAGTTATAACACAACACAAGATGATGAAATAATTTGTGTACACAGTGGTAGTTATGTGTTGGGTGTTTGCGATCCAGTAATATCAAGGACATATATTTTTGTCCCGAGTTGTGCCACAAGGTGGCTATTTGCCACATACATACACTACAATGCATTCCTGAGGAGTCTGGAACACTGGTTTTGAGTCACTAGGTATAATTGCTAGTATACATTTTCCGTTACATATATTTCTATTTTTCCATAACTTTTTAAAAGGATTCAGAAAGTAACCACTTAGGGGCCAAGCATTTTCTGGCACTTTATGTTTAAAAGTAAAAGTGAGTATTTTTTGCTAGAAAATTGCTTAGAACCCCCAAACATTTAAAACATTTTTTAAGCAGAGACCCTAGAGAATAAAATGGCGATTGTTGCAATTTTTTAATTTCACACAGTATTTCTGCAATGATCTTTCAAAAGCAATTTTTTGGGAAAAAATACAGTTTAATACATGTTAATGCAAAAAAACACAATATATAACACAATTTTTTGGTAAACTATAAAAGATATTACACTGAGTAGATACCTAACATATCACGCTTTAAAATACATACGCTCATGGAATGGTGATAAACTCTGATACTGAAAAAATCTAAAAAGGCGATGTTTTAAAAATTTTTACAGGTTACCCGTTTAGAGTTACATTGAAGATCTAGCACTAAAATCATTGCTCTTGCTCTAACGCAGTGGGTCTCAATCTGTGGGTCGTGACCCCTTTGGGAGTCTAACGACCCATTCACAGGGGTCGCCTTAGACCATCGGAAAACACATATTTCCGATGTGTAAAGAGCAGCTACTGTGTAGAAAGCAGCTACTGTGTTGAAAGCAGCTGTATTGGAGATAAAACGACACTTCATGAATTATAATTACTGAGTAAATAATTTTTATGGTTGGGGAGTCTAATGTTTACGGTGATACCTCACGTGTGGTGTGGTGAGAAAACACTGTCTACATATGCTTGTGCGACTTAGGTATGCGATCACTTCTGCGCGTGAGCACACTTTAATTTTTTTTAATCACTTTTTATTCCTATTACAATGAATGTAAACATCCCTTGTAATAGAAATAAGGGATAACAGGTCCTCTTAATGGAAAGATATCTCCTCCACCTTTGACAGCAAAAGATAAAATAAATAAAATATAGATTGTATACTTTAACCACTAGCCTACAGGGCACTTATACCCCCTTCCTGCCCAGGCCAATTTTCAGCTTTCAGCGCTGTCCCACTTTGAATGACAATTGCGCGGTCATGAAACACTGTACCCATATGAAATTTTTATCATTTTTTGAGACAGATAGAGCTTTCTTTTGGTGGTATTTAATCACCTCTGGGTTTTTTTTATTTTTTGCAAAACAAACCAAAAACAACTTAAAATTTTAAAAAAAAAAAGTTTTTTCTTAGTTTTTTGTTATAAAATTTTGTAAATAAGTGATTTTTCTCCTTCACTGATGTGCGCTAACGAGGCTGCAGTGATGGGCACTGATAGGGTGAACTAATAGGTGGCACTGATGGGCATTGACAGGCATCACTGATGGGCACTGAAAGGCAGCACTTATATGGCACTGATAGGCAGCACTGATAGGCAGCACTGACTGGCACTGATAGGTGGCACTGATATGTGGCATTGATGATGTGCACTGGTAGGCACTGATATGTGGCATTGATGTGGCACTGATAGGTGGCATTGATGAGCACCGACAGCTGGCATTGATGGACACTGACAGCTGGCACTGCTGGGGCTACACTGATCACCAGGGCACACTGTCTGAGGGACACAGCGCACCACTGATCGCAGCGCTGCAAGCCGCCGGAGCCACGCACGTGCGGTTAGAGTCGGCGGACGTCATATGATGTCCTCCCAGAACGGGAGAACCGCCTTGCGCCCATCATTTCTTTATATGGCGGGCGGAAGGCGGTTAAAGGATAACTTCACCTTTCATAACATGTTACACCCATATTCAGGGTGTAACGTAACATGGTCCACCTAAACGTGCGACGCGTTTAAGCACATCAAGGGTTTTTTCAGCCAAAACGCTGCAGCTCCAGGACACCCTGGGTTTTTGTCTTCTGCCATTAAACTCTCCTGTCACAAAATGCTGCTAAAATCCTATGTGTGCATGAACACATATGGTAACATGCAGGGGAGTTTAGAGACAGTACTAAAAAGAAAACAAAAACCGCCCGACTCCCCTAGCAGCTGTTGAAACGTCCAGGGTGCATGAGGCCTAAGAAAGAGAAATCAAAATAAAATTGAAGTTTAGTGATCATAACCTGATATTGTTCTCCTTACCTGGTTCAAAAGATACAAAATCTTGGTTAAGATATGAAGGCATCTTCTTGGATTTATTGGAGTTTCATTGAATAATCGAGCCTGTAGTCATTTAGAAAGAAAACAGTTTATATTTGTTTAACTTAAATAAATATAATTAAAATAAAGTTGGTGACAACTGTCTTTTCTCTCATGCTCCCCATCTCATATACACACTCCAATACTGACCCTAGACCATATGGCAACCACCTATGCTAACTGGGTAGGTTTTAAGTCCTCTTCACTGAGGTAGCATATAACCTAATGGAGAAGCCATCTATTTACAGATCTACATAATTTTTTAATACAGGTCTTACCTCTTGAAGAACAGCACTCTTTTCCAAATGCTGAAATGGATTGGATCCACTTCCTGAAAATTAACAGATTTAATTTATTTGCAATATGTGTTGTAATTATACATTCACATGTGTGTGTGTATATAAATATTTTAGTGCAACTTGGGATTTTTTTTTTAAAAGTCATTTTGTAATTTAAAATGATCACAATTTACCTTTTTTTTTACCGCTTCCCGTCCACCCTACAGCAGTACTGCTAAAGGGCAGCAAGGGTGCATAGAATCACGTATATACGTGATTTTGCATTTCTGGATAGGGGGCGCGCGCGCCTTACCCGCTCCACCATTCATGGCCGCGGATGTCAATCACCGGGTCCTGGCCAGTGATTACTCGTCAGCGCACGGTAATTGCCGAGTATCTCCAAGAGGGAGAGGGGGGGGATGGGAGTAAACAAACCAGTTCTCTCCCCTGTCAGCTCCTGCACACTGCTTTGCATGGACATATTCCAGCCAGGCTTCGTAAGCTACGTAAATAGCCTACACATATAGCAAGGACATTATTCAACTTTAGTCAGAGACACATGGTTTCTTTGTATCCACAGACACCCCTTACCTGCATAGGCAGTTCATTGGTGAAGGTGAACTATCCCTTTAGGATGAGAAAAAAAAAGTGGAATAGTCGCCCTGAAATGGATTAAAAACGCACTGGAACGCATCAAAAACAAGCATGCAAAAACTGCAATTCTGTAGTGTGAACCAGCCCTTAAAGCGGAACTAAAGGGTAAATACTTACCTGTCTAATGGTCCCACTAGCATCCTCTTCTGAGTGCCACTCTTTAGGCCTCTTCAATGGCCGGTGGGGGATGAGGTCAAGGCACTCAGAGACCAGCTTGGCACTGTAAGCTGAGCTACACATCGACAGCTCAGATGACAGTGTTGGAGAAGACAAAGAGCAGACAGGTAAGAAATATTTTATTGAAGAATAGACACTGCATGTACCTTGAATAATAAAAGCCTGCCTTTCTTATAGCAGGACTTCAGTTCCACTTCAAAGGGCCACACCACCAGAAGAGTGGTGCCGCTGCTTTATTGACTTCCCCTGACTTCACAGTCTTCATTATGAGAGAAGGTGAAGACACTGGAAGGTGTGTATGATTACACAGAAGTGTGAATAGGCCCCTTATAATGTATGAGAACACAGCAGTGTGAATAGGCCCCTTATAATGTATGAGAACACAGCAGTGTGAATAGGCCCTTATAATGTAGGAGAACACAGCAGTGTGAATAGGCGACTTATAATGTATGAGAGCACAGCAGTGTGAATATTCCCCCTTGTAATGTATGAGAACACAGCAGTGTGAATAGGCCCTTTATAATGTATGAGAGCACAGCAGTGTGAATAGGCCCCTTATAATGTAGAACACAACAGTGTGAACAGGACCCTTATAATGTAGGAGAACACAGCAGTGTGAATAGGCCCCTTATAATGTAAAACACAGCAGTGTGAATAGGCCCCTTATAATGTAGGAGAACACAGCAGTGTGAATAGGCCCCTTATAATAATGTAGGAGAACACAGAAGTGTGAATAGGCCCTTTTTAATAATGTAGGAGAACATAGAAGTGTGAATAGGCCCCCCTTATAATGCAGAACACAGCAATGTGAATAGGACCCTTATAATGTAGGAGAATACAGCAGTGTAAATAGGCCACCTATAGTGTAGGAGAACACAGCAGTGTGAATAGGCCCCTTGTAATGTAGGAGAACATAGCAGTGTAAATAGGCCCCTTATAGTGTAGGAGAACACAGCAGTGTGAATAGGCCCCTTGTAATGTAGGAGAACACAGCAGTGTGAATAGGCCCCTTGTCATGTAGGAGAACACAGCAGTGTGAATAGGCCCCTTTGTAATGTAGGAGAAAACAGCAGTGTGAATAGGACACCTTGTAATGTAGAACACAGCAGCATGAATAGGCCCCTTATAGTGTAGGAGAACACAGCAGTGTGAATAGGTCCCTTGTCATGTAGGAGAACACAGCAGTGTGAATAGGACCCCTTATAATGTAAGGAGAACACAGCAGTGTGAATAGGTCCCTTGTAATGTAGGAGAACACAGCAGTGAGAATAGGCCCCTTATAATGTAGGAGAACACAGCAGCAGTGTGAATAGGTCCCTTGTAATGTAGGAGAACACAGCAGTGAGAATAGGCCCCTTGTAATGTAGGAGAACACAGCAGTGTGAATAGGCCCCTTGTAATGTAGGAGAACACAGCAGTGTGAATAGGCCCCTTGTAATGTATGAGAAACACAGCAGTGTGAATAGGCCCCTTATAATGTATGAGAACACAGCAGTGTGAATAGGCCCCTTATAATGTATGAGAACACAGCAGTGTGAATAGGCCCCTTATAATGTAGGAGAACACAGCAGTGTGAATAGGCCACTTATAGTGTAGAAGAACACAGCAGTGTGAATAGGCCCCTTGTAATGTAGGTGAACACAGCAGTGTGAATAGGCCCCTTGTCATGTAGGAGAACACAGCAGTGTAAATAGGCCCCTTGTAATGTAGGAGAACACAGCAGTGTAAATAGGCCCCTTGTAATGTAGGAGAAAACAGCAGTGTGAATAGGCACCTTGTAATGTAGAACAAAGCAGCATGAATAGGCCCCTTATAGTGTAGGAGAACACAGCAGTGTGAATAGGTCCCTTGTCATGTAGGAGAACACAGCAGTGTGAATAGGCCCCTTGTAATGTAGGAGAACACAGCAGTGTGAATAGACCCCTTATAATGTAAGAGAACACAGCAGTGTGAATAGGTCCCTTATAATGTAGGAGAACACAGCAGTGAGAATAGCCCCCTTGTCATGTAGGAGAACACAGCAGTGTGAATAGGTCCCTTGTCATGTAGGAGAACACAGCAGCAGTGTGAATAGGCCCCTTGTCATGTAGGAGAACACAGCAGTGTGAATAGGCCCCTTATAATGTAGGAGAAACACAGCAGTGAGAATAGGCCCCTTGTCATGTAGGAGAACACAGCAGTGTGAATAGGCCCCTTATAATGTAGGAGAACACAGCAGTGAGAATAGGCCCCTTATAAAGTAGGAGAACACAGCAGTATGAATAGGCCCCTTGTAATGTAGGAGAACACAGCAGTGTGAATAGGCCCCTTGTAATGTAGGAGAACACAGCAGTGTGAATAGGCCCCTTGTAATGTAGGAGAACACAGCAGTGTGAATAGGCCCCTTGTAATGTAGGAGAACACAGCAGTGTGAATAGGCCCCTTGTAATGTAGGAGAACACAGCAGTGTGAATAGGCCCCTTGTAATGTAGGAGAACACAGCAGTGTGAATAGGCCCCTTGTCATGTAGGAGAACACAGCAGTGTGAATAGGCCCCTTGTAATGTAGGAGAACACAGCAGTGTGAATAGGCCCCTTGTAATGTAGGAGAACACAGCAGTGTGAATAGGCCCCTTGTAATGTAGGAGAACACAGCAGTGTGAATAGGCCCCTTGTCATGTAGGAGAACACAGCAGTGTGAATAGGCCCCTTGTAATGTAGGAGAACACAGCAGTGTGAATAGGCCCCTTGTAATGTAGAAGAACACAGCAATGTGAATAGGCCCCTTGTAATGTAGGAGAACACAGCAGTGTGAATAGGCCCCTTGTAATGTAGGAGAACACAGCAGTGTGAATAGGCCCCTTGTAATGTAGGAGAACACAGCAGTGTGAATAGGCCCCTTGTAATGTAGGAAAACACAGCAGTGTGAATAGGCCCCTTATAATGTAGGAGAACACAGCAGCAGTGTGAATAGGCCCCTTGTCATGTAGGAGAACACAGCAGTGAGAATAGGCCCCTTGTCATGTAGGAGAACACAGCAGTGTGAATAGGCCGCTTATAATGTAGGAGAACACAGCAGTGAGAATAGGCCCCTTATAATGTAGGAGAACACAGCAGTGTGAATAGGCCCCTTATAATGTAGGAGAACACAGCAGTGAGAATAGGCCCCTTATAAAGTAGGAGAACACAGCAGTGTGAATAGGCCCCTTGTAATGTAGGAGAACACAGCAGTGTGAATAGGCCCCTTGTAATGTAGGAGAACACAGCAGTGTGAATAGGCCCCTTGTAATGTAGGAGAACACAGCAGTGTGAATAGGCCCCTTGTAATGTAGGAGAACACAGCAGTGAGAATAGGCCCCTTGTAATGTAGGAGAACACAGCAGTGAGAATAGGCCCCTTATAATGTAGGAGAACACAGCAGTGTGAATAGGCCCCTTATAATGTAGGAGAACACAGCAGTGTGAATAGGTCCCTTGTAATGTAGGAGAACACAGCAGTGTGAATAGGCCCCTTGTCATGTAGGAGAACACAGCAGTGTGAATAGGCCACTTATAATGTAGGAGAACACAGCAGTGTGAATAGGCCCCTAATATAATGTAGGAGGAGAACACAGCAGTGTGAATAGGCCCCTTATAATGTAGGAGAACACAGCAGTGAGAATAGGCCCCTTATAAAGTAGGAGAACACAGCAGTGTGAATAGGCCCCTTGTAATGTAGGAGAACACAGCAGTGTGAATAGGCCCCTTGTAATGTAGGAGAACACAGCAGTGTGAATAGGCCCCTTGTAATGTAGGAGAACACAGCAGTGTGAATAGGCCCCTTGTAATGTAGGAGAACACAGCAGTGAGAATAGGCCCCTTGTAATGTAGGAGAACACAGCAGTGTGAATAGGCCCCTTGTAATGTAGGAGAACACAGCAGTGTGAATAGGCCCCTTATAATGTAGGAGAACACAGCAGTGTGAATAGGCCCCTTGTCATGTAGGAGAACACAGCAGTGAGAATAGGCCCCTTGTCATGTAGGAGAACACAGCAGTGTGAATAGGCCCCTTGTCATGTAGGAGAACACAGCAGTGAGAATAGGCCCCTTGTCATGTAGGAGAACACAGCAGTGTGAATAGGCCACTTATAATGTAGGAGAACACAGCAGTGTGAATAGGCCCCTTATAATGTAGGAGAACACAGCAGTGTGAATAGGCCCCTTATATTGTAGGAGAACACAGCAGTGTGAATAGGTCCCTTGTAATGTAGGAGAACACAGCAGTGTGAATAGGCCCCTTGTCATGTAGGAGAACACAGCAGTGTGAATAGGTCCCTTGTAATGTAGGAGAACACAGCAGTGTGAATAGGCCCCTTATAGTGTAGGAGAACACAGCAGTGTGAATAGGCCCCTTGTAATGTAGGAGAACACAGCAGTGTGAATAGGCCCCTTGTAATGTAGGAGAACACAGCAGTGTGAATAGGCCCCTTGTCATGTAGGAGAACACAGCAGTGTGAATAGGCCCCTTGTAATGTAGGAGAACACAGCAGTGTGAATAGGCCCCTTGTCATGTAGGAGAACACAGCAGTGTGAATAGGTCCCTTGTCATGTAGGAGAACACAGCAGTGTGAATAGGCCCCTTGTCATGTAGGAGAACACAGCAGTGTGAATAGGCCCCTTGTCATGTAGGAGAACACAGCAGTGTGAATAGGCCCCTTGTAATGTAGGAGAACACAGCAGTGTGAATAGGCCCCTTGTCATGTAGGAGAACACAGCAGTGAGAATAGGCCCCTTATAAATGTAGGAGAACACAGCAGTGTGAATAGGCCCCTTGTCATGTAGGAGAACACAGCAGTGTGAATAGGTCCCTTGTAATGTAGGAGAACACAGCAGTGTGAATAGGCCCCTTATATGTAGGAGAACACAGCAGTGTGAATAGGTCCCTTGTCATGTAGGAGAACACAGCAGTGTGAATAGGCCCCTTATAGTGTAGGAGAACACAGCAGTGTGAATAGGCCCCTTGTCATGTAGGAGAACACAGCAGTGTGAATAGGCCCCTTGTAATGTAGGAGAACACAGCAGTGTGAATAGGCCCCTTGTAATGTAGGAGAACACAGCAGTGTGAATAGGCCCCTTGTAATGTAGGAGAACACAGCAGTGTGAATAGGCCCCTTGTAGTGTAGGAGAACACAGCAGTGTGAATAGGCCCCTTGTAATGTAGGAGAACACAGCAGTGTGAATAGGCCCCTTGTAATGTAGGAGAACACAGCAGTGTGAATAGGCCCCTTGTCATGTAGGAGAACACAGCAGTGTGAATAGGTCCCTTGTAATGTAGGAGAACACAGCAGTGTGAATAGGCCCCTTGTCATGTAGGAGAACACAGTGTGAATCCCTTGTCATGTGAGAATAGGTCCCTTGTCATGTAGGAGAACACAGCAGTGTGAATAGGTCCCTTGTCATGTAGGAGAACACAGCAGTGTGAATAGGCCCCTTGTCATGTAGGAGAACACAGCAGTGTGAATAGGTCCCTTGTCATGTAGGAGAACACAGCAGTGTGAATAGGTCCCTTGTCATGTAGGAGAACACAGCAGTGTGAATAGGCCCCTTGTAATGTAGGAGAACACAGCAGTGTGAATAGGCCCCTTGTCATGTAGGAGAACACAGCAGTGTGAATAGGCCCCTTGTAATGTAGGAGAACACAGCAGTGTGAATAGGCCCCTTGTAATGTAGGAGAACACAGCAGTGTGAATAGGCCCCTTGTAATGTAGGAGAACACAGCAGTGTGAATAGGCCCCTTGTAATGTAGGAGAACACAGCAGTGTGAATAGGCCCCTTGTAATGTAGGAGAACACAGCAGTGTGAATAGGCCCCTTGTCATGTAGGAGAACACAGCAGTGTGAATAGGCCCCTTGTCATGTAGGAGAACAGCAGTGTGAATAGGCCCCTTGTCATGTAGGAGAACACAGCAGTGTGAATAGGCCCCTTGTATGTAGGAGAACACAGCAGTGTGAATAGGCCCCTTGTAATGTAGGAGAACACAGCAGTGTGAATAGGCCCCTTGTCATGTAGGAGAACACAGCAGTGAGAATAGGCCCCTTATAAAGTAGGAGAACACAGCAGTGTGAATAGGCCCCTTGTCATGTAGGAGAACACAGCAGTGTGAATAGGTCCCTTGTAATGTAGGAGAACACAGCAGTGTGAATAGGCCCCTTGTATGTAGGAGAACACAGCAGTGTGAATAGGTCCCTTGTCATGTAGGAGAACACAGCAGTGTGAATAGGCCCCTTTATGTAGGAGAACACAGCAGTGTAGGAGAACACAGCAGTGTGAATAGGCCCCTTGTCATGTAGGAGAAACACACAGCAGTGTGAATAGGCCCCTTGTAATGTAGGAGAACACAGCAGTGTGAATAGGCCCCTTGTCATGTAGGAGAACACAGCAGTGTGAATAGGCCCCTTGTCATGTAGGAGAACACAGCAGTGTGAATAGGCCCCTTGTAGTGTAGGAGAACACAGCAGTGTGAATAGGCCCCTTGTAATGTAGGAGAACACAGCAGTGTGAATAGGCCCCTTGTAAATGTAGGAGAACACAGCAGTGTGAATAGGTCCCTTGTCATGTAGGAGAACACAGCAGTGTGAATAGGTCCCTTGTCATGTAGAACAGGTAGGCCCCTTGTCATGTAGGAGAACACAGCAGTGTGAATAGGCCCCTTGTAATGTAGGAGAACACAGCAGTGTGAATAGGCCCCTTGTCATGTAGGAGAACAGAGCAGTGTGAATAGGCCCCTTGTCATGTAGGAGAACACAGCAGTGTGAATAGGCCCCTTGTAATGTAGGAGAACACAGCAGTGTGAATAGGCCCCTTGTAATGTAGGAGAACACAGCAGTGTGAATAGGTCCCTTGTCATGTAGCCACATTCATGTGTATATATTCTTATATTTGGATGGAGTTGGTGTGTGGAGCCAGTTGTATTCATTCATAGACTGACACCGAATGGAGGGGGCACACAAACTAGATCTACCCCGACATCAGGAGGTATTGGTTGCTCCTGTTCAGTCACACATACTAAGATCGGTAGAATGGATGGAGTACAGGCTACGTGTCTATCACATGTTCAGATAGAACAGCAGGCGAGCCTATACAGCTTCCGGAAAGTCCGAGGCTCCGGGCCTGCAGAGCCCAGTTACGTTCTCCCGCTCCAACTACCGACACAAAGAACCTTTCTTACCGGCCTCCTCGTCTTTTTTATCGAATTTCTTAATCATTTCCGGATGTCGCCGCTTTGCTACCGGGACCGGAGGAGATAGTCAGCACAGGATACACCGCGCCTGCGCACAGTTCTCGGGAAGTCCCGCCCATCGTTTGGATTAGAGCCATAGTCTTCTCTAGTGTGAGGGCTCTGTGTGCTGACTGTGTGGGGACAGGGATGGTGTGCGTTGTTCCTGAAAATGGCCTGACTTTTCACAAATGTCCTTTTTTTTTTCGAGTAAATGGAATCCCTACGCATTGGCAAACACTGCACGTTGTAACACACACCAATTCGAATTTTTCATGCACATTTATGTGTGTGCATGTTTACATACAGTTGAGCGTTTTTGCATCCACGTTTGTTGTTTGAAGTCACTTTCCTTTTTTTGTTTCTTTAGGCTTTTATGTGCACTGCAAATGCAGTGAGTTTTGCGTACGTTTACATGCGGTTTTGCACATTTACAGTGTGGAAAAATTCAGCCTGCTGTATTTTTTATCACTGCACTTTAATGGTGTGCACTATGCCCACAGGATAACCTGGAGTTTGGACTGTGTACCAGTGGTCTCCAAACTGTGGCCTTTTGCTTGCTTTTATCTGGCCCTCGGGGCATTGTTTCATCCACTGATACCAACGAGGCATAATTCCCTCCACTGACACCAAACTAAGGGGCACAATTCATTGCAATGACACCAATGATGGGGCACAATTCCTCCCAATGACACCAACGATGTGGCCCAATTCCTCCCAATGACACCAACGATGGGGCCCAATTCCTCCCAATGAAAACAACGATGGGGCACAATTCCTCCCAATGACAACAACGATGGGGCACAATTCCTCCCAATGACAACAACGCTGGGGCACATTCCTCCCAATGAAAACAACGATGGGGCCCAATTCCTCCCAATGACAACAACGATGGGGCCCAATTCCTCCCAATGACTACAACGATGGGGCCCAATTCCTCCCAATGACAACAACGATGGGGCCCAATTCCTCCCAATGACAACAACGATGGGGCACAATTCCTCCCAATGACTACAACGATGGGGCACAATTCCTCCCAATGACAACAACGATGGGGCACAATTCCTCCCAATGACAACAACGATGGGGCACAATTCCTCCCAATGACTACAACGATGGGGCACAATTCTTACCAATGACAACAACGATGGGGCACAATTCCTCCCAATGACAACAACGATGGGGCACAATTCCTCCCAATGACAACAACGATGGGGCACAATTCCTCCCAATGACAACAACGATGGGGCACAATTCTTACCAATGACAACAACGATGGGGCACAATTCCTCCCAATGACAACAACGATGGGGCACCAATTCCTCCCAATGACAACAACGATGGGGCACAATTCCTCCCAATGACAACAACGATGGGCACAATTCCTCTCAATGACAACAACAATGGGGCACAATTCCTCGCAATGACAACAACAGTGGGCCCAATTCCTCTCAATGTTAACAACAGTGGGGCCCAATTCCTCCCAATGACAACAAATGGGGCCCAATTCCTCTCAATGACAACAACAATGGGGCCCAATTCCTCTCAATGACAACAACAGTGGGGCCCAATTCCTCTCAATGTTAACAACAGTGGGGCCCAATTCCTCCCAATGACAACAACAGTGGGGCCCAATTCCTCTCAATGACAACAACAATAGGGGCCCAATTCCTCTCAATGACAACAACAGTGGGCACAATTCCTCTCAATGTTAACAACAGTGGGGCCCAATTCCTCTCAATATTAACAACAGTGGGGCCCAATTCCTCCCAATGACAACAACAATGGGGCACAATTCCTCTCAATGACAACAAATGGGGGCACAATTCCTCTCAATGCCCAATTACTCCCAATGACAATAACAATGGGGCAATAACACAACACAGACAACAATGTTAAACAACAATGGGGCACAATTCCTCTCAATGACAACAACAATGGGGCACAATTCCTCTCAATGACAACAACAATGGGGCACAATTCCTCTCAATGACAACAACAATGGGGCACAATTCCTCTCAATGACAACAACAGTGGGGCACAATTCCTCCCAATGACAACAACAGTGGGGCACAATTCCTCTCAATGACAACAACAATGGGGCACAATTCCTCCCAATGACACCAATAATGGGGCAAAATTCCTCCCAGTGATAACAATGATGGGGCACAATTCCTCCCAATGACAACTATGGGCCACAATTCCTCTCAATAACACCAATGACAGGGCACAGTTCCACTGATGCAAACAATGGGTTACTATTCTTCCCACTGACACCAAAAATGGGGCACTTTCCCTCCCACTGTCACCAAAGATGGGGCATTGTCTATTCCCACTGACGTCGGGATGTTTTCTACTCCCAATGGTCACAGTATGGCCCCCTAATGTCTGAAGGCCAGTAAACTGGCCCTTTGTTTAGAAAGTTTGGAGACCCCCTAGTCTATACAGTTGGAATGCAGTCAAAAGTTCATCCAACACTGTAACTGGTGTGGCAGATATCAAGGTCAATTTGGTGTGGTGGTGATCAGGGACAATATGACTGGTGTGGTGGTGATCAGAGACAATATGACCTGTGTGGTGGTGATCAGAGACAATATGACTGGTGTGGTGGTGATCAGAGACAATATGACTGGTGTGGTGGTGATCAGAGACAATATGACTGGTGTGGTGGTGATCAGGGAAAATATGACCTGTGTGGTGGTGATCAGGGACAATATGACTGTGTGGTGGTGATCAGGGACAATATGACTGGTGTGGTGGTGATCAGAGACAATATGACTGGTGTGGTGGTGATCAGGGACAATATGACTGGTGGTGGTGATCAGAGACAATATGGTGTTGGTGATCAGGACAATATGACTGGTGTGGTGGTGTGGACTGGGTGTGGCGGTGGTCAGGGACAACATGACTGGTTTGGCGGTGATCAGGGACAACATGACTGGTGTGGCGGTGATCAGGGACAACATGACTGGTGTGTCAGCGATCAGGGACACTGTAACTAGTGTGGCAGCGATCAGGGACACTGTAACTAGTGTGGCAGCGATCGGGTCAATATGACTGGTGTGGCGGCGATCAGGGACACTGTAACTAGTGTGGCAGCGATCAGGGTCAATATGACTGTGTGTGGCGGCGATCAGGGACACTGTAACTAGTGTGGCAGCGATCAGGGTCAATATGACTGGGTGTGGCGGCGATCAGGGACACTGTAACTAGTGTGGCAGCGATCAGGGTCAATATGAATGGGTGTGGCGGCGATCAGGGATAATATGACTGGTTTGGCAGCAATCTGGGACAAAATGACTGGTGTGTGGCGGTGATCAGGGACACTGTAACTAGTGTGGCGGCGATCAGGGACACTGTAACTAGTGTGGCAGCGATCAGGGTCAATATGACTGGTGTGGCAGCAATCAGGGACAGAATGACTGGTGTGGGGGCGATCAGGGTCAACATGATTGGTGTGGCGGTGATCAGGGACAGAATGACTGGAGTGGCGGCGATCAGGGACAGAATGACTGGGTGTGGCGGCGGTCAGGGACAATATGACTGGTGTGGCGGGGATTAGTGACAATATGACTGCATAGTTGCCAACTGTCACAAATTGCCCGGGACACTCAAGGATGTTTGAACGCTGTCCCGATAGGTCCTTGTCCCACGCAGTGTCCCGAAAATCACAGCAGGTCACAGACAGTGCTGCCGGTGCATTGTGCACATATGTCCAAATAACAGACACATCGGGCAAGCTGTGACTGTATGCTCCGTCAGCACTGCCTAGAGGAGTTTGCTTTCATGCTGACACAACTCTCCCAGGTCCTGGAACAACACTCTCCCCTTCTCCCCCACCAGCGATCCTTACCGATATCTCTACATTCCATGTGTGCAGAGAGAGGAAAGAAGTTTTCTGCCTCTTCCAACTCCTTCCTCTGCTCCACCTGTCCCCACACTGTGCTCTGTAAATTATGGATGGCTACAGCTGGAGGGTTGAGTGTGGAGGGGGGCTGAAATTAAGCTGCTGAAAGGATTCAGAGCTGGTGGTGAATGTGCCAGGAGCTGGCTGGAGCGTGCCAGGAGCCGGCTGGAGCGTGCAAGCAGAGAGTAGGTAAGGATGCCTGTGTACTATGCAGCCAGCTTCACTTGAAGTATGTGGGTGCCACTGCAGCTCAGGGGTCAGTGAATATACATCATCCTCCCATTTACAGACATATCTGCCCAGCCATTTCTGTACATCACCTCTAAGGGCTCTTTCACATTGGGGGCTGCTGAGCCATAGTTTTTACCGCCACCACTAACTGCATACCCAATCATGCTTTACTTTGCAGCTTCTACGTGTTTAATACTGCAGAGTTTGATACCCAGCATTGCTTGTCAAACTCGCCCAGTGAGTTGAATGGGGCTGCTCTGTAACTGTGAGCCAAATGTGAGCTCACAGCTGCAGCACAGTCCTGCAATATAAAATTGTCATTCAGCAAAAAAATTCAAGTTAAAAAAAAGAAACAGGCATCAGGAGGTGATGGTAGTACCCCCTGAATGCATCTCAACTGCTGCTATACCATCCTCTGAAAAGTGATCACAGATTGCTTTTCAGAGGGCGGTAAGCATTACTACAGATGTGAAAGAGATAAAATCTGATATACATCTTGTTATTGCCGGAAGTCAGGCAATATGTGTATAGTCCCTTATTTGCTCCTTCTGCTGATATTACTGTCATGGTAAGGTTAATGTTATCCTTTGACATAACAGTTACATTGTCACCAATCACAGATATGTTGTTTCTATGCACGACTGCTTTTGTTACCTCTTATTGTTATACCTAATTTGTACACAAGACAGCAGTTGTGTTTGTACTCTCCAATCTTGAAAAATCCTCAATAAAAATGTATTGAAAGGAAAATCTGATATACATAATCCATTTCACACTCCCCACTACCCAGGATGTCACTCCCCAAGCACTTCCCAGGGCAAGCATCTGATTGGTTGCTGTGATGATCCTAG